CATTGTGATATTAAAAGACAAGGACATTTGCAGGGAAAATTCGGGGTCACTTTTCAAACAATTTTCATGAAGAGAGAAATAAGGGTGACCGTTTGAAAGGATTTCAAGGCAAGAAAAAAGTCGACTTACCTTTCAAAGAAAAGTACGTCCTATATTATTATTAATTTTTTTTTGGGGGGGGGGGGATGACCGATAGGCTTTCAGATTGTTTCCGTCGATGGAAGTTGCCGCACGGTACCTGGGCCTATATCTGACCCTTAATTGTCCAACTGTCAGAAGCGATATTGAACTTAACACGTCTTTCAGGTGGTGTAAATTATGTTTGGAATTCTCACAAAATGAAAAAAAGAGGTTTATCAAACGAAATTCATCTTTGAAATAGAATCGAGTTAACCGTACAGGGCCTACGGAACTTATGAACTGGTAAAAGACAAACGCGGGAGCGTGTGGCCAGACGGTTTGGTACCAAGACGTCACCAAGTGAACCCTAGCCATATCCCCTTTCATCGTGGTGTACAATTCAAGCACCAGCTGGCGTTTCTGTATATTGATTTGCCATTTTACAAAAAGGACCGTCGACCATGACTTGTGATATGCCTTTTTGACACAGTTTTTCCGCGTCACTGATGATCTAGGCACAGAAAACAACTCTGCCCTGTCGTGATCTGTCCATTTCGTTGACTTACTGTGCATGCAGGGAACTTGTACCATTCACGTTGGGAGTCACGAAATTCGTTTGATGGCCTTACAGAACAGCGTTGCAGCCGTATGGTTGCGAATGCCTAAGCCTCGCCGTTGTTAAACAAAGTTAATCCGATTACGTACTTGGACGCTATAACAGAGCAGTGAAATTCATGCACCCCCAAAAAACATGGCCTTTTGAACGTTGTGTTTCTCAGAAAATATGATCAGTATGATTGAAATGTTAAATTATAACGGAACAAGAAATTCTATCCTTCATGTCAGTGAAAAAAAATCGCCGTCATCGATGCCGAAACGTCAATTCTGGTTACTGGTGAAGCTGACCTTAAAGTCGGGAAGAAGTCGCTCGAAAACGTCCCCAAAGCTATGTATTTATCTCAATTTCTATAGGAATTCCCTCAAGTTGTTATTTCACGAGTAGCTGAACACTTATATAATCGAAGTATATCCGAATTTCAGCTTAATCTGTTGTTGCAAACGCTTGTGTTACACCTTGAACTACCTCCAAGGTAAATTTCGACGTAGCCAGGCCTATTTTCCAGTTTCAACGAAAAGTACTGAACATATCAAAACGATTTTTAGCACATAGTTGGATCATTATAAGGGAAACAAACCCAGAAAGTTGCATGAAGATACGGTGTAGCATGAATTTAGGTTTTATGAATTACGGACTCATTGGTGGTATTGCGCATGCTCATGCATAGATAATTAGGAGAGGGACCGGTCACGTGAGAGGGTTTAACCAATAAAAGGGAATAAGAGTTCGATTTTCATACGAGTCCGATTTTCATACGACATTGGTCTTCCAAACGGGAGAAATTAATTTTCAAAGATTTCACCCGCCAACGTGAACATGTCTGTGTGCATGTTGTTTCATTCAAAATAAAGTATTACGTAACCTTTAGAAATCGGCCTTCGCAAACATACGGCTGGTTGGAGGTGTGTGAACGATGCTGCCGAGTTTTCGTCAGTCTTGTGACAAGTCTGTGTTGTTAAGCTCTGGCAGGAGCTTCTACATGTCACCTGGTGGTCTATCCCCGGAAAAATTAGGATTATCTCGGATGACCGTTAAAATGAGTTCTGCAAATATTAAAAAAACAAAAAACAATTTCATTGGTTCTCTATCATAGGATTGAATTTCGGGATTCAAAACACCAATTTTCACGGTGGAAACGTAGAAGTTTGAACAAGTATATTTTTTTTGCTTCTTAAGCTCACAAAGAATCATGTTTAGTTCACGAAATGAAACTTAAACATAAAGTAATCCAAATCTTGATGAAATATGACAACGGTTGTTTGAAAATTAAGGTGATATCAGGTGTAAAAATAGCCACACTGTATATGCAGCACGACCTCTCGACGAAAGGCCGTTCATTTCAACAAATGGCACCTGTAAGTCTGAATTAATTTTAAAAAGGCCATCACTGTCCTGATCCGCAGTATAGTTCGGCCATGACAGGTGTAAGTTTTCTTTTCATCGAGATCTCTGTTTGTTGTATTTAGATCGACAAACACCAAACATGTATGTAAATCATAGGGCCATTTTGCTGGCTGAAATCGGCTTCGGGTGTGGATGGTGCGGTGATAATGTCTACCAGTATAATGTCATAGCTGAGACTGTCATTTTAATCTTTCCATTAATGCAGATATAACGAGCCATTACTTTTTTATGTCCTGAGAACGGCCAAAGTTGTGCTGACTCTAAAAAAAACGGGTTACGACTATAAATAACCTATATAAAAACCTCCTTCATTTCAACTGTTTTTGTGATGATGAATAATTGCATATTACGCAGTTACAAAGACCTGTATTTTTATGATGGACTGCGATATTTTTGTTTGTATATAATAGGGGAAGAAAAGGGAAAATACCGTGCTATACGGAAACTCCATCATGAAAAGAAGTTGACCCCGAACGAACACAGATTCAGGGTGAGTCAAAAAGAAAGTGACCCGGATTAAGGTGTTTTTTCTCTCTTAAAAAAAGCAAATTTGATACACCATGAAAGTATGTCATTAAGCGAGCATGTTCTTCCACTCATCTGAAGAAAAGGAATACTGAAATTGATCCGTGCCATCAGAAGTTATGCACGTTTTACTAAAAGAACCCATTTTTATAGCTGTCCGTGGAATGTCATTGGAAGCTATTATGCGCTTAGTGAGAATTACAGATTACACACAGACATTCAAATACAAATGAGATTTTAATAATATAACTCAAGACTGAAACATTAGTTTTACAGTCAGAATTTGTGTTTCGAATAAGGAAAAGGTCAACTTTTTTTTTACTGAAATACTGCAATTGTTGTATGTTTTCCTTTGCAAGTTCTCGTTCATCGAGGTGGGCAAACGTCCATGTTTCATGGTACTCAATGGGTATTCATCAGTTCGTGAAACGGTAAATTAGCAGAGGTACACAGCTGAATTTTGCGCTCATTTTATTAAAATAGACATAACTTGAGAATAGAGTACATGCATGTATGTGCAAATTACGTGCAATGTTCGGCAGTTAAAAGTCAATAAAATGTACTTCATAATAATAATACCGGAGCCTTATATAGCGCACGTATCTACCAACAATTAGGTACTGAAGGCGCTGGTAATAATGTCTATTTGTAAACACAGGTAAATTTATCCCTATGGTTTTTTAAAGAAGTGGACCAAGCGTTAAACTTGAAAAATATTTATTATTTTTTTTCAAATTCGGTCCCTTTCGTTTTGGCTCACTTTTTGACTCACTCGTTAAACATGATACTCCCTTCATGCGAAAAAATCCGACGAAATCTTGCAATTGCAATAAACGTGTGTATAAATTATATATCAAGCCGAACATGTCATCAATTATGTTTGGTCTTTTTAGTGACTTTATTTGCCATCGATCTTGTAGAGACAATTTGGGGCAAAAATTTTAGGACCTTTCGGCTTGGAGAGAAACAAAAAACTTAGTTTGTTCTTAGCCATGTGAAGTATATACAGCATGAGTAGATTTTGTTATTTTAAAAAATGAACCTTAAATAGTGGGAAAGTTGAAAATGTTTTATTAGTTTCTATGCAAGTTTATACGATGGCCATCGAAAGCAAACGATCTCTCGGCCAACATTTTACTGGTCGGGAGTTTCATTGTTAGACATGCCTTCATTGTCTTTTCAAGGATACCTTTGTTATTATTCGTCACTAGGTCGTTTTCGGATAGCTTTAATAAGCGGGTATAAGGCCTTCAAAGTGGGATCATTTAACAACAAGTTGCCAAGGATAATACATAAAAGATTGCCGCATATGATCCTTCATCTTATAATGAATGCGGGCGTTAGAATTTGTGAGGTTTTCGTTTCGTCAAGGTTTTCGATGCGATTCATATTCAGTTGAGGACTGGCATATTACGTGGCTCAATTATAGAGCTACAGCTATGATCAGCTAAATAAAATCAGCTGAAACCCCATCTCAGCTAGCAGGAAAAGGAAATGGCATATACCTGTTCACGGTAAGCCAGCCATATTTGTGCTTAGCGGTTTTATGTGAGACAGCAACCGTAAATATACCAAAAACCCGGTACCAATATAGATCTTTTCCTTGTGAGCAAAATTCTCAGAAAAAAAAGGATTTTGTGGTGGTGTTTTTTTCTGCTGTTGTCTCGTAAGGCTTGACACCAGCAGTGTACGGTTGGCCAGCCAGGCCAGGGTGTTGGAGGGCGCTGGGTCAAGATTGTAGCTCTTTGTAACCGTCCCTAGCAGCGATGGCGGAACACTTTTGAAAGAGGGGGGGGGCAAAGCACCGCCAGTGCCGGCTGGCCGTTGCACATTTGAAAAGACACTGGTCCCTAGTCGTGGCTGAGCAAGTTGTGCCTGCTCAAAGTTTCCGGTTGCACCAAAGGTAAATCCCGAATGATGTTCAGCGCTGTTGACAGTCGGATTTTTCTGTGATTGAATTTCGTATGTATAGTATTGACACACTATTTTTGTAATCCTTCCATTTACTTTCCCTTTTTGAAGTTTTCGGGGGTAACCCTTTTCACTTCTTTTGTGATTTGTTGCCTCGCCCCTGGCTGGGAAGTGTGGTGCGATGGACTAAAAAAAAAACCACCGCAAACTTCCTATCTGTAGGTTCGAATCACAGCATCATGGAAAATCGTTTGTTATATCAAAGCGCTGTTGACATACCGAAAAGCTGGTGGCCATTTTACCATCGGACTCAGGGATATTTAGACGGCAAAATCTGGCCAATCATCGGCAGGCAAAGTCCTTGACGTGGCACGCTTGTAGTGAAAGTCGATAAAGCGTCAACAGGACTGACCCCTTTACCTCTCTTTTGAAGTTCCATTAAGGTCTATAATGCGCCAACAGCACAATGGTGTCACGGTACCTGGGCGGCGATCTAGTGCATCGGTCCTCGCTTCATACAACACGCCAGGAAAGGCTGCATCTGCTCTAGTTTCGTTGGAATAAAAGTGCTTAGTGTTCCATTTGCAAAACCAGGACACCTCTAGGTAAATCCCACCGGTAAGTTATATTCTTTTTCTTCAAGTAAATGAAACCTGTTAAGGTAGTGATGCTAAAAGTTTGGGGTTCCGAAAATCCTGCCTAAATATCATGCCAGGGTGTGGCCGACCGAAATCACGGGGAAGCGTATTTTTTTTAACCGTATTTCCTGGTCCGGGTTGGTGGGCAATTGTGCAGCGATTCCCGGGGCATGGCTGCCCCGGGCCCCGTGATGCTATCCTGGTGGACCAAAGGGTGGGTCTTGGGTCTTGGAATGAGATGGGTCGACCCCATTAACATAAACTTACAGAAGACTAAAACAGTTTCGCCTTGAAAACGATATTCCAGCTTTCAAAACAAGCCTGATTTTCAGGAAATCAATAATTTGAACCTTGCCAGTCGGGAATGCTCTTCCTTTAATATGCAGACATTTTGACTTTAAAATTGAATTCAAGAAACCCAACAGTTGTTGCAGATGCTCCCAACCTTGACTAACTAAACACTGCCAAGGGTACTTTCCCTTTACACGAGCGGGGGGAACTTTTTACTTAAAATAGGGGAAAACCCACGCGATCCTGGTTAGGAATGCGTGCCGTGGTGGCTCGCATCATTTCAACCGGGAAGGACGATGACAGTTCAACCTATATAAAGCTGCGTAGAGAATGGTGACATAAGGGAAGGAGTATCAGTTTGATCGAAAAGGGGAAAGCATTATACCGATTCTGGGTTTTGTAATTGTCAGCGACAGCTAACAGACAATTATAGAGAAGCTGACTGTTGCGAGAACGTACTTTGCCAGCTGAGTTGGACAAACTAAGAGCATAATTTTACAGTTGATGCAACTCACTCTACAGGTTGAGTCAAAAAGAACGTGACCGATTAAAAAAAAAAAAAAAAACAATAAAAAAAAAAATATGTGTCTCGCTCCGTTTCATAAAACTATGGGGTTAAAGTACATGTTATTGGCATTAGTAACTGTGAAAATATCACGAAATTTGCAATCTCTATTCCCAGGTTAATGGTCAGTGCACGAGCTGATGAATACCCATTAAATACGATGAAACATGGACGTTTTCCCACCTTCATAAATGAACGGAAACTTGCAAAGGAAATCAGACAAAAATCGCCATCAATATTTCAGAAACTTTTTTACTTGTTCCTCATATTCAAACACAAAATCTGACAGTAAAAATAACGATTTCGTGCTTGACGTCTCAAACGATTAAAATCTCATTTGTATTTGAATACCCTATGTGGAATTTGCAATTCTCACTCAGCTCAATAGCTTCCAATGGCATTCCATGGACAGCTGTAAAAAAAAAAAAAAAGCCGGGGGGGGCCCTAAGATCTCAGCCATCGATTGACGAAAAATTTTGAAACTCAGTACATGCATAGAACATCTCTTCCTAAACATACCCAAGAAACTCATGACTATAGGTTTTGGAATTATGGGTAATTAATTATTCATATGTACGAATGGCAATTCTGCTCTGTGTACACGACGTATATGGGAAAATTCAGTTTTCACAGCGCGTAGCGCCGGAAAATTTTTCTCTACGCGGCAACCCGTGTCTGCTTTTTATGTTTTTGGTATCAAAAGATGCGCAAAGCTTGAGGCTAAAAAGTCATAACAGCTCGGGTCGCGAAACAATTTTTTTTAGAGGCTATCGCGGAAAATGTTGAGGGGGGATTCCGCCCCCCGGCCCTAGGTTAAGTAAAACATGCATAAATTCTGATGATAGCATCGATAAATTTCAGTAATTCTTTTTTCTCCCAGATGAGTGGAAGAACATGCGCTTTTAAGACATACTTCATTAGTGTATCAAATAAATTTGATTGCAAAATAATTACTGTGCCCTACATTTTGGTGTTGTTTTGGTACTAACGCGATCAAGGAAATGGTTATTATCGGAATACACTGTTCTTTTCTATTTCCCGTCCTTGGAAAGTGTGCTCTGAAATAGAACAAGGAACCAAAAACAAATCTCGATACAGTTGGAAAAAAAGACAAACGTAATTCCTGGTTGCGAAAAGTGATTTACCTTCGGATTGATATTTCCTGGTCTACAGCGATCTTGTTCCTCTTTCGGGTCACTTTTTTTTTTAATTAGTTTTGACCAGTCCTGTTTTGATTCAATAATTATGATAATCTATGTCATTCGTTAGTCTGAATTCTCCCGCATCGCACGCGATCTCACTTCGCACTGCAGTATACCGTGATTTCATGTTTCACGGTGTTTTTTTTTTAATAACACTTGCCTTCCTTGCCATGGTTACTTAGACAGCCGATCATGGCTCAGATTTGGGAGTTGATTTAGTCACTGCACTGAATGGAGGTGGCTTCATTTTAAAGTATCACTTCTCGTACATTCCATGCACCTTATACTGAGTATCAAGCCTTCAAGGTAATACTAAAAGCTCACCGTAGTAACTAACGTTATCATCGCAAAGTCATCCATGAAATAAGTTTTCACGAACTTGACACTTCACGACAGATTGCTGTGAGAGTATTTCCGGACTCGTCCTATACGGTATTATTTTTGTTTTCAAAGTTTTCTTCAAATCTGCCAAGATGTCTCTCCATCCATCCTCACTGCTGTCCGTCGCGGCCGTGCTTGTTTTGACATCCGTAGGAATCGTGCATGTTGCTTGTGGTACGTATGTTTTTAGACCTTGGTGTACACTCTTGAAAAAAAATGAAACTTTTGCCATCGTGTTTCTTTCCTTCCAAAAAAAAAAACAAGTGTCATTTCATGTTTCAACAGTTTTTCCTTTAATGTTTTGTTTGTCAAAACTTGTGAGCTTTTTTTTCATGTGGCTTTCGCTTTCAATTATATTTTTGACTTCACTAGACACGCCTTTTGCATATACCCCACCCTCTTTTCTGAGATCTATGCTTGCCAAGTTTAATACTAGGCCCGAATGGCTCATTTTTGGTACATTATCTATACTGAGTGACTCTTAATTAATATAATACTGGGTCTTCATCCAAAATTCATATACCTCGAGCCAGAAGAAGTGGGTTTTTTTCTGCGTACAATATTTTTCTCTGGACCAAAACATTGGAACCATCTCTCATCATCTTTAACCATGGGCGTTGATTGGTGGGGGACGGTGGGGTGGGGGGATGCTCCCCACCCCTCACTATTTAAAGTGAGAGTATCATATCGTTTGCCCCCCCCCCCCACACTTTTTTTGTCCATGAATAAAAATTGTATCCTACATTTGATTCTATAGCTCAGAACAGCTGATTCAATGACTCCATTTGAACTCAAAAATGATGTTGGAATGATGATTTTTGTTCAAAAGAAAAATGGTTAAAGTGGTCAGAAATTGCCTCAGTTTACACCAAAGAGCGTCTAGAATCCAAAATTTTTACGGGGCCCTTAAGTGGGCCCCGAACCCCGAACCCCACGCCGTTAGGGCTTTACACTTTGCACCCACAGTGGTTCTGATCAAGGTATGTGTCCCTCCCCTCCGCTTTTGAGAAGCGATGAATACATACAAATGTAAACTAAACTCTCAGAGTAGCTAATTCATTCGGTTCAGTTGTGTTTAGTCATTTATATTGATCTGTGACACATAACTGTGAATTGTCATGTCTACCTTTTAACCGATATGTAACTAATTGGGAATAACTTTTATTATCAAGTGTTTTTTGTTTTGTTGTTTGTTCTGTTCTGTTCTGTTCTGTTCTGTTCTGTTCTGTTCTGTTCTGTTCTGTTCTGTTCTGTTCTGTTCTGTTCTGTTCTGTTCTGTTCTGTTCTGTTCTGTTCTGTTCTGTTCTGTTCTGTTCTGTTCTGTTCTGTTCTGTTCTGTTCTGTTCTGTTCTGTTCTGTTCTGTTCTGTTCTGTTCTGTTCTGTTCTGTTCTGTTCTGTTCTGTTCTGTTCTGTTCTGTTCTGTTCTGTTCTGTTCTGTTCTGTTCTGTTCTGTTTTGTTGGGCACGTCCACCACAAGCTTCTGCCGTTTCTTTTAGGATGATACCTCCACATCTATTTTTATGTATTACTCAATATGATGAACAGTGTGGAAATGATTTTTTTTTCTGGAAATGAATTGAAAATTGTATTGAAATAAATGACTCACTGATGCAGTCACTCAGTGACTCAGTCACTCACGAGGTGTTCCTTTTCGGTCCAGCAAAAAGATCATGGTTATTTCTTACGCCTTCAGAGGTTCGCCTTGTGAATAGTTCCGCCACTGTCCCCAATGCTGGCAGGGTGGAAGTCTGGGACCCCGACACCTCTGAGTGGCTCGCCGTGTGCGCGAACGATTGGCATTTCACTGACGGTCAAGTAGTCTGCAAGGAGCTGGGTTATCCTGGAACGGCTTTGGTGGAGAATCAATCCGAGTATGGAGACGGAGGACCGGGGAAGTCAATCGGTGGCTTCAACTGTACTGGAGGTAAAATTTAAATGTAAAACGCTTCCGCTAATTTGATTTCAAAGAGAACTTCATTATTATCTGAACAACTGAAATTATATTTATTTGCATTGGTTTACGATTTACAAGATATACAAGAGAACCTTATATTGTCTGAACATTTTTAAGTCTTCACAATTTCCAGGTTTCGTTCCAATAAGCTTCAAATTTACTACGTGTGTATAAAGAGTCATTAAATAAAAAAAAAATGATCTCACAGACGGATGACATTGTTTTGTAATGATCGTTCTAACTAATTCACAATCCGGGGATGAACATTACGCCACCTTACGTTTGAAACATAGCATTTCGCGAGATCGCTTATAATTTCTCAATTTGTTGTGAGTTATTAAACATTATCCTGGTTAATTTACTGGTTTTTCTCTCGGTAGATGAAGCATATTTGCTAAGCTGCACGAGAAGTGACCCAAACGATGAACCATGCGGTGCCAACCACACAGCCGGAGTCGTATGCGCAGGTAATACACTAAAGCTTCGCCCCGTAATATTTTGACCGTGATTTTAAGTCCAACATGCGTGAACCATAGGCGTGCACAGGGCGTGCACTTCTTGCAAAGGCGCGCGCGTGCGGAACATGAAATTTGGCACTGGACAGTATAAAGTGAAGTGGGCGGGGCCTAATGGATGGAGCAATATTAATTAGTCAAGTTATTTCACATCTCTTTTGACATCTGTTGGAGGGTTTTGGGGATTTTGTTCCGGATGATATCCTTGTCCTCGTCGTGGTCCCTGTCGTTCTCACTGATGCTGCCGTTTTGTTTATTTGCGTTCACGTGCCTGTTCTTGACATGCTTGTTGACCCTTTAACAGCTCCAGGATATGAAGGTTGCAAGATGGAAATGAACGACAACAGCAGAATCTTTAAGACGCTAACATCCATCACAGACAACACCGTTGAGAAATGTATTGAATTCGCTAAAGCTCGGCAAGACGGAGCACCCATACTTTACGCTGGGGTGTTGGGAGAAGAGTGCTCGTATGGGCTGAAAAACCCGGATAACATCGCCAGCCTCCCAGCAGTTGATGACTCCATGTGCGACACTGCCTGCCCTGGAAATCCCGATCAGAGATGTGGTGGATCGGGACTTATTTCAGTCTACAGTGGTAAGTTACGCTTTTCTATTGAATATTCTGAGAAACCTATAGTTGTAATGATTATCAGAATTGAAAGCATAGTGACCATGGTATAGACGCATCTTAGAGGGTGTTCTTTATCTGAAGTCAGGAACAGTGAACGCATACAGTACCTATAAAAAAAAATCATGCTGCTATGCGCATTAATTGCAGATGGAGGAAATGAAAAGTTGGTTTACTTCTTTATCTGAAGTTTGTCATGTTTATTTAGAAATGAATGGATTTTCAAGTCGATCAATACCAGCCTCAATTATTTTAAATTGATGTCTTTACTCATTACGTTTTAGCAACCAAGGTCCACTGCAAAAGACATGTCCCGTAACAAAGCCCATGATTCATAATTTCGTTTCCATCTTTTTTTTTTTCAGTAAATGGTGGATTCTGTAGCGGTCCAGTTTTGTCCAACGGCGAGCAGGTCGTTCAGCCGACGCCGGATTTTTTCTATTTTGGAACCGTCGTCGACTTCACTTGCAACCCCGGGTTTGAGCTACAGGGGGCGCCCTCCGTGCAATGCGTCATGGGTTCTTCTGGGACTGCACAGGTCACGTGGAGCAACAGTACACCCGAATGCTTCGGTGAGCTTCAAATTTAACCGTAAAAGATTATAATCCCAACACCGGCACCAAATAGTAGCATATGAATACTGCAACTACACACCAAATTCAATCGAACTAAACCACGTCAACCAAAATAATTTAAAGAAAGTGAAAAAATCCCTGCATAATATTGGTTGAATTAAATACTTTTCTGTAAATTCCACCTCAGCCGCTGATAATGATATGACCACTAGCAAGGCTACAACGCCGCCAGGCGGTAATGGAGCAGGTATGTTGAGTTCATGGTCGTATTAATGGGTGTTTTCTATATACGATGGCGTCATGCATTCGTTCCGGCTTCGGTTATACAGCTTTCTACAGCTCTTAAATTATAATTATTATTTCCAAGCCAATGTTGCTGAAACCAAATCAACATACTCTAACATCCGTTTTAATGCAATATTCAGTCGCATAAAATGGGCTTGATAAATTATTTATAAAGCGCCCGTATTCCCCACCTAAAGCATGAAACGAAGGAATAGTTCATTTTATAACACCTCACCCACAGATTCTTTGTCTTGATTGGCCGAGGGCGAGTCACATGATTCTTTCTATTTTTGCTATCTTTCTGTGCACGGCCAAAAGTACTATACCCGTAGCAACCAAAGTACTATACCATTAGCAACCAAAGTACTATTTCCACGGCACGGTATTTGAGAGAAATACATTTTCTTCCAGTTTTGTATTGAAATTAAAGTTTACTTCAACTGTGTTCAGATTTAAATAATTTAAAATATTAAAATCAAGCAGAATCTGTGCGTGAAGTGTTATAAAACAAATATTGAATGCTTTATCTCGTGGTGAAGTAAAACTAGCCTCCCTCAGTGATCCATGGACATTCTATTTTCCCTCGGCTTCGCGTCGGGAAAATAGAATGTCCATGGATCACCTCGGAAGGCTAGTTTTACTACACCACTCGAAGCATTCAATATTTGTATAATGTCCCAGTTAGTTTGAAAAGCTTGTGACTTGACTTGGGACTGGAGGACTTGTGATGGACTCGTCTGCATCACTGGTACTTGGCATGACAAGACATGCGGTCTGGCACCTTGCTTCAAGGTATATACAAACCGAATTGTTTATGCAGTTTTTTTCTTGATCCCACTAGATGTTGCGTTGGTTCTCAGCATCCTGAATACAGTCATCCTGGTTCTCCTCATCATCGCTATCTTGATGGGACTATACTGCTGCATCATCAGGTAAAGTCACATTGTCAATTCAACTACTTAAAAGACAAATACTTGCAAATCTTACCGATTCGGATGGGCTGTACGCCTATGTAGCTCTCTAAAAAGTTAGTGTTTCTTACATGTAGAAGTTATTGCAGCTTACTGTAAAGATAACCTTTGCGTTGCTACCGAATGAAAGTGCTCTCATCAAATTGTAAAATTAATAGGCATTAAGGATTATACCTGTACTGTTCATGTATCCTAATTCGAGGTTCATTCCTAAAAGATTATTTTTTAAAACTAGGGGAAAGGTAGTTTTATCGTCAACTTAAACTCATGGAAATTGAAAATTCGTAGGGAGAAAAAAATATCGTTGGAGATCACTGACGGAACGAACTCCTTATTTATGTTAAGTCATATTTATCCAAAAACTATTAAAATGCAGACAAAGGGAGAGTTCCCCTGCTATGCTTCCTCGCTACACAGAGACCAACTCCCTGGACAAGAACGAAGGTGACGACCGGGAACCCACGGCCAGCCCGCCGGTCCCCGAGCACGGGGTCGCCCTGCAGGAACTCCCCGAGTACTCCACCGTCAACAAAGATGCCAAGCGCAAATCCAGGGTGCCCAGAACCAACTCCGGCTTCGAGATGGACGAGGGACCGAGGAGGCCCAAGTCCAACATCTCAGAGTCGGGGAGGAACCGTACCTCCAGACCTCAGGTGGACAGAAACGAGGAGATTTTGGGGACCATCATTGTCAGCCCAATAGCCCGTCCAGAGGGAGGCGAAGAGCACGAGGAACGGCCAGCTGAGGAAGAAGGGTGGGAGGAGAACCTGACCTACGATTCCATCGAAAATGACCCCAAATATGTAAACACGAGAAAATAGTAAGATTGATCGAAGGTACATTGAGAAGTTATATTGCTTTCAATACTTTACCAGTCAGTAAATACACTCTTGGATGACTGTAGGAAGATCTAACTGGAAAACAGTCTAACTTGCTCCCTGCCGCTAACTACATACAGGCTGTATGTAACGGCCAGTTGGTGCAAATTAGACTGTTTCCAGTCTTTTTTTAACTAGTGAACTACTCTTTTAAACAACTTTTAAGCTTTTATGTCAGATGCAAAACTGAAATATATATGTTTGACACGGCACTAAAGTATTTGTCTGCAGAATTGTATACACATGTATTAGTGGGATGCATATTTCGCTATTGAGAGTTGGTTCATTTTATATCTGATTTTCATAAAATTCCATGAATTCAAATTATCAGAACGAACAGTAAAGCATGAAGAGAATACATCCCCAGAATATTCTAAACACAGAATACAAACTGACAACAATTGTCAAAGTTTTTGCATGAAAACTTTAGATACCCAATTTTTACATCATTTAAAATAAGTTGTTATTGACATTATAGTTAATAACTTGGAAGATGTTGCCGAACAATTTATACATTGTGCGTAACTGACGTAAGTTGCACATTTGTTGGGCAGTTAATTTCTCTAAGTAATTCAAAAAATAATTTTGAAAAATTCTTTACATGTATTAATATTGCAGCACAATTTATTTGATAAAGATGTTATCTAATTGGCGTATTTCTTAAGGTATTTGTTTGCAAGTCAGATATCAAGTATACGGGATGACCCCCAAAAAAGTTGTGCATGGCAGACATCTTTCAATTTCTCAAAAAGTATCCAACATCAGCATTTCATGTTGATGGAGTATACTGTTTGTACTCTTGTGTATAATCACAGCGAAAATTTGATGCAAATCCATTCTTGCAAACCAGAGATACAACATAAACTGTAAATGGCAATGTGTTTTTCACCCATTTCAATGTGATTTACACAGTTAATGAAAAGACTCATTATTGCAGAGTGCTGGTTGAGCGATTTCCCATGCAATGTGTAATTCCATTAGAATGGTTGAAAAACACAAATCCTTTTTATAATCTGTTAGATCTCTGGTTTGCATGAACATATTTCCAAGACATTTTCACTGATTATACACAAGAGTATTATTAATATGTTCCATCAATTGAAGTACTCACGTTTAGGTGTATAACTTTTGAGAAATTTAACGATATCTGCTTGCACAATTTTATTTTTGGGGGGCACCGTGTATTTGAAACATGTTATTGAGTCAGTTACCCAAACTGGCCTTTTTTAAACGGCCTTTGCCTATTTGGGGCAGCATTGTTACAATTTTAAGATTATTCATGATTGTAAAAAGTTGAACTCGAAAAACTTATTTGAATGCCTCAACTTGGTGAATACACTGTAAAAACAGTGTCATTTAAACACATCAGAACGTGTTGAGAGTTTAAAACGTTTAGGAATGTGTTTCAATTCTAAACGTTTACCCCTTTTAATGTTGTGAAACTAAAGGTGTTTACATTTTGGACATGTGCTTAGGATTGTATATCTAAATGCGCTTAGGAAGGTGTTTAAATGCTTAACATATTATTCATTGAACATGTCAAACGGATAATGCGTGTCACAGAAAAAGGACATCTAAACATGTCATGATGCTAAATGTGTGGAAAAAGTGGGTACAGAATAAGTGTTTAGAAATGTGTTTAAATCCTAAGCACCATTTTTACAGTGTACAGGCCTGAAAGGGTGGTTTTCACTGGTTTTATGTTCATATCAGTACTCAGTGATTGTTCTACAGGCATATACGGTACATAAATTAGACCCTATGGTTGCCAGGTTTGTAAGTATAATTTTGTGACAGAGAATTTGTCATTTTCTCCGTGGGTGGCGCGTTGATGACGAGAGCGAACTGTCGAAAGAATCAGACAAATTTGCAGCTCAAAGGAAAAGAAAAAAAATACGTAGTATGTAAAATATTATGAAAACAGGCATTTTACTTCATTTTAAATTCATTAAATTAATAATCGGATTTTTCATAATTAGTGATCCTTTGTTTTTGTTTACTGTTCCATGTTTATTATCAGTACTGAATTTTGTATAAAATACATCGATGTATCTTGCCTGGTGGTGTACATCAATAAGTAATTGTTTAGGTTAGCTATAGGAGTGCGAAAGGGATGTACAAAAACTTCAAAAAGACATTTTGTGGTCTTAATTTATACTCAGAAATTCCAAAATGATTATCTTCCGTGTTAAAAAATTGGTTCTATTTCGGCTGCGGTCAAAATAAAAGTCGGGAGAGATGGCACCGATTTATGCGTTGCGAGTTGATAGGCAGTTTGTTTAAGTAAGATTTGAGGCTTTGCATGGTGGAGATACTAAATAATGAAAGGTTTGCGGAAACACCATGTGCGAATAATTTCTCAACTAACTGAAAAGAACCAGAGGTATAAACTCGACGTTCCGGTCAGTATGCTCTGACCGTCTTCACTCTCCTGAAGACGGTCAGAGCATACTGACCGGAACGTCGAGTTTATACCTCTGGTTCTTTTCAGAACCATTCTCTTAGTTGAGAAATTATTCGCAAATTGTGTTTCCGCAAACCTTTCATTATTCAGTTTGTCTAAGTAATAAAACCTGCATAATGACAAGGAACTCTGTTGACGTACGTTTTGGCTGGGCATGACGACGGCCCGGGGGAGAACAACAATGTTCGCCCGAATAATTTGGGGAATGGTCTGATCATCAGAACTATGTCTTACTGACTGGACTCTTGATCAAAATAACACCTGCATGGTTAAATTTGACTAGAAAATAGTCTAACTTGCAGCCAGCTGACTAGAGCCACCTGGAGGCAAGCTAGACTGTTTCCTTGTCAAATTTAACTAGAGTGTATTCAGAGTAAACTCGAGTTTAATCAACTATACAGGAACATGAATCATGATTTGTCATCGAAGAATAAAACACTATTTTAATCACTAAAATATAATTGGTGTCGCTGCATCGATGTCAAGAGGCCCCCAGAAACTTTGTGATTCCCACGAATCAACTAAGGCCAAAAAAAAAAGTTTCCGGTTTCTGGTATGGAGCTTCCCCTAAAAAGTGGTGCGGCGACGAGGCTTTTTTTTTTTTTACCTGATTTTTTTGCTTCAAATGTCGGCTGATGACTGCAAATGGCGCCCGACTAAACTTAGTGCAAATATATGGGAGTCCAGAGAGGCCACATAAAGCTTATTCTCGACCATAACCCCATCTAAAAACACGTTAAAATTGTGCAGCAGCAGGATTCCAGTCAAACCAGTGAGTTTGGCGGTTTTGAGACATCATCTTTCATTGAAAAAAAAACGTTTTCATTTTGCCGACGCGCATGGCTACGGCGACGCGCGCGCATACCAGAAACCGGAGACTTTTTTTGGGGGGGGGCCTAATAGTACCATGTACCACAAATAATACGATCTGTGCTCACAAATACATAGTCCCATATTCCGTTGTGGACTGGCAAAAGGCGATTTGGAATCGCTCAAAGCACCGGCCCCATTTGATATAGAGCTGCACGCTTACAGCCAACATTTTTACTGAAAACTCGTTACAAGCAATTCATGAATTTATTTCCAAAACGTTCCCTTTTGTTCCCTTTTAGAATTCCATGCACCCTCCCCTGGCTTGCCCCAAATCTGTTTTCACAGGTTTGATGTTGTTAAATACAAAAAATATATTGAAAAAGTGAAAATTGAAGTTTAGGAACAGTCGTCATACGGTTTTTATTCTTTAAGGGTTTCTTCATCGTGGAATTTTTTTTCACGTTTTTCAAATCGCGCTTTGGAAATAACTCTTCAAATGAAAAATCCTGGTTGACAGCCTGTACTCCTGTAAAGTATAAGTCTTGCGCTGATCAGTTTTGTGTGCCACAGCAACAATAAAAGCAGTAACCGGGCCGATGATCAGCCCAGGTCCTTATTGCGTAACAACATAATACAGATCACATCTATACTATTTTTCCTTACTTAATGCCTTGATGATGCCTAGTGGCACATAGGCCATCAACAAAGCTCCTCCATCTTGGTCTGTTCTTTGCTAGCTCTTCCAGTTCCTTCCAGCAGTATCCCATCTGTCTCGCATCAGCCATTGCGTCTCGCTGCCAGGTGTTCTTTGGCCTTCCTTCATTTCTTTTTCCGTGTGGATTCCAAGTCAAGGCTTGCTATGGTGATGCTTGAGATCGGCTTTCTTTGAGTGTGGCCGATCCACCTCCATTTGCGCTTCAGGATTTCCTCCTCAATTGGGGTTTGTTGAGTTCTCCTCTATACTATTATACTAGGGTATAAACATACGATAGTTTTGACACCAACATTGCAGAGGGATGTATGGGGTAATACTTTTTTAATTAAGGCACCAATAGTAAAGTTTTGAATGATGGTCATCCTTGGTGGCAATCAGGTAGTTTAGGAGTGAATTGTGGCACATCTCGCCTCTTGACACAGTACAACTTCGCTTTTGAATAAGCTCTTGTCACTTATTTGGTGAGTTAGTGCCTACATGCTCCTATATAGTTTGGAAGTGTAGTCCGATGGAATCAATCATTAAGATTTGCTTTGTGTGTTTTTTTTTAATTGTATTTTTTTTTATAAAAATGGTGTTTATTTGAGCGAGAATTGCATGGCGGTTGTGATATACGGCACTCGTGCCAAAAAGCCCACGGCCATTTTACCACCGGACTCAGACGTATTTTAGACAGCAAATGTACTGGCCAATCATCGGCAGGCAAAGTCCGTGACATGGCAGGACTGTAGTGAAAGTCGACAAAGCCTCAACAGGGACTGACCCCATTGCGAACTATAGGGTGCAGTGTACTAATTCAAGTGAGAATTTCTACGGAGACCGTTTGGCTTAAAAAACGGTGAAATTGTGTAAATAAAGCCAAGGATCATCTCCATGGTTTTGGGGCTTCCATCTGAGGGCAGACTTGATAAAACTACGGTTGAAAAATGGGTCCCATTTGCCTGAGAAAGTGGAAGGATGCCACTTGTAAAACGGCTATTTGCAGGCTTGGGAACTATCACTTTTCGGGAGGTGATTTTGTTTTGGTGTGAATATTTAAAAATGTAATCGGCTAATCTACCCACAATTGAAAAGAAATGAAAAGATGAAGTACAAGACATTAATTTTTTTTTTTTTGAGAAACCCCAGTGATGTCGGCTTGCATGTTATTGGGCCTTGAACTTTGTTGATTTTACAGTACTGTTTTCAATGGGGCTTGAATTGGTTCAGTGCACCCTTTATACCTCTCAATCTTTTGAAGTTGGTTTCGCCATAAAAGGGCCTATACGATGCGCTGATATCAAGAGCACATTGGGGTGTGCGTGGAGGCATACACAATAACAGTATATGCCCGTGCTGCTGTTGAACGGTGCCTTGTTTCGTACAGCATTTTTGTATTCATACATGGGTTTTACTTTTTACAACCCTTAGCTAGTTCTATTGGAATTGCTTAACATAGTTCATCCAGGTAAAACCCCACAGGTAAGTTGTACGATTTTTTCTGTCTGTAAATATAACTCCGGGTAGAGACCCGAAAAGCCGTGCGGTTGCAAAACAAAATTCCTATTAAAAAAGCCGACCGATATCACGGGGATCGCATTTTTTGACCGTATTTCCTGGTGTGGTTGGTGAGCAAATGTGAAGCGATTCCCGGCGCAATCCCGTGAAGGCCAAGCTATCCTGAACGGCGGGTCGCTGGTCTTGGAGCGAGATGTGTCGATTTCGTTTAACATATAAACCTATACAGATGGGCATGCTTTGGAACGAGAACAACTGGTCTAAAACAGTTTCGCATGTCTTGAAACACGTCCGATTCTCATAAGCGATTTGAATCACAGTGCCAGAAATTTTCTCCCCTCAAAATTTCAACATTTTGACATATAAAATGGATTTTAAGAAAACGTATTTTGTTAAGGATAAAAAAGGAATGCTCTCGATCTGTGCGCTGATAGCCAATCATAAGTGATATTGATAACCTGACAGTTAATTACCGACAGATTGTTTGAAAATATTTCCAGAATAGTCCTGCGGTTTAATTTAATTTTTTTTTTAAGTTTTCTTCAAATCCACAGAGATGTCTCTCCATCCATCGTCACGACTGTCGATCGCAGCTTTGGTCGTCTTGACATTCGCAGGAATTGTACATGTTGCTGGTGGTATGTAGCCTACGTCTCATGACCTTCGGTTTAAACTATTGAAAATAATTGTTATTACATGTATCCAGACTATTTTGTCTGAAAATAACGAACAATTGTCATACCATGCATTCACATGGTGGGGCTATGTTTTGTGTCTGTCTTTTTTGTTGATCGAATTCTTTAGATTTCTCAATATGGGAAAACATCGCATAATTGCATTCATTTATTTCAACATAAAAAAAACACTATACGTGTACCTGAATCCTCCATCTTAAAAGAAGACTGGAGCTGGACCCGAATATCCTAAGTGAGGATATTAATAATACTCAATCAGTCAGTCGCTTAGTCGGTCAGTCGGTCGGTCGGTCGGTCGGTCGGGGAGTGGGTCAGTCGGTCACAGTCAGTCGGCTAGTCGGGGAGTCGGGGGGGGGGCCAGTCGGTCAGTCAGTCAGTCAGCGAGTCGGTCAGTCGGTCAGACGGGGAGTCGATCAGTTGGCCAGACGGGGAGTCGGTCAGTTGGCCAGTGGGTCAGTCGGTCAGACAGTCAGTCGGCTAGTCGGTAAGTTGGTCAGTTGGCCAGTCGGGGAGTCGGTCAATTGGTCAGTCGGTCAGTCGGCGAGTCGGTCAGTCGGGGAGACAGTCAATCGGCCAGTCGGGGAGTCGGTCAGTTGGCCAGTCGGTAGGTCGGTCAGTCGGCCAGTCTGTCAGTCTGTCAGTTGGTCAGACGGTCAGTCGGTCGGTCGGTCGGTCAGTCAGCCAGTCGGTCAGTCGGTCAGACGGTCAGGCGGTAATTACTCGGTTAGTATACATGTACTTAAATGACCGACTTGTACTTTGAGAACACATCACCCAGCTATTTCAACTATAGAAAAACATCACCCCAGAAGAGGATCTTTAGAAAAAGGGATAATGGGAACACAATGCTATCACCCCACAATTCCGTCTGGCTGGGGTGTCCGTTCGTCTGTCAGTCCGTTCTTACCATACCCCCCTTGTGGGGTGATGTTCCTTTCAGGACACATTACCCCACTATTTTCAAAATAGAAAAACATCGCCCCAGAAGAGAATCTTTAGAAAAAGGGATAATGGGAACACAATGCTATCACCCCACAATTCCGTCTGGCTGGACCGTCCGTCCGTCAGCCGGCCGGCAGATCAGAGGAAAATGCTGGCCCCTCGATTTCAGCAAGTGGCCATAATTTTGTTTCCTCCATGCATGCACCCTTCAGAGGTTCGCCTAGTGAATAGTTCCGCCACTGTCCCAAATGCTGGCAGGGTGGAAGTCTGGGACCCCGACACCTCTGAGTGGCTCGCCGTGTGCGCGAACGATTGGGATTTCGATGCTGGTCAAGTAGTCTGCAAGGAGCTGGGTTATCCTGGGACGACTTTGGTGAAGATTCAATCCGAGTATGGAGACGGAGGACCGGGGAAGTCAATCGGTGGCTTCGACTGTACTGGAGGTAAAATTTAAATGTAAAACGCGTCCGCTAATTTCATTTCAAAAATAACTTCATTATAATCTGAACAACTGAAATTATAGGTATTGCATTTGGTTTAAGATTTAAAAAATAAACAAGAGAACTGTACATTGTCTGAACATAAATTTTTTCAGTCTTCATAATATCAAGGTTTTGTTCCAATTAGCTCCACCTTTACAGTATGTATATAAATCAACGAGTCTTTTTAAACTCTGGTTTTACAGACAGATGACAGTTTTTGTAATTATTGTTCTAAATAATTCACACTCCGGGATTGAACGTTACGCCACGTTGCGTTGACAAACTTATTTCTTAAATTTGGTGAGTATTGTTATGATAAATATCTTAGTTAAGTTAAAGTTCATTTGTTTTTCTATCTATCGGTAGATGAAGCATATTTGCTAAGCTGCACGAGTAATGACCCAAACGATGAACCGTGCGGTGCCAGCTACACAGCCGGAGTCGTATGCGCAGGTAAAGCAGTGACAATCGATCGATTCAATAAGCTCCGCCCCCATGGTGTTTTGACCAATCACTGCTGTGATTTAAGTCCGACATGCGTACACTTGCGCATCCGGAACATGCCGAGGCTTTATTCGCGAGTCGGCCGTATCAAATTGAAAGCAAAGTAAAATCTTCGTTTTTGGAACTGGCAAAATATAGAAACGAAAGCAATAAAATAAAGATAATTTCAAATTAATACTAGTCTGCTCTGATAATAATTTTAAAAAAAATCCCAATATTTTAAGCCACATTTAAGAAAAATAAAAGTGAGGCTTGTAACGCATAAATAGTCTGGCACCATCCCATTCAACAGTTCACAATTGTTAAACTACGTTCAGGGGACACATCAAAAGTGGCTTCCTCGCGAATAAGGTGTAATGCCAGCCTCGACTCCATGGGCGCGTGCGCGTTCCTTACACTAACGTTAAGATCGCACAAGGCATGGTGGGAAACAACATGGCGCAGCAAGATCGTACCCATGGGGAACGAGGTTGGTGTAATGCTAATTTTACTGTTGTTTTGGGGATTTTGCTGCAATGATGATATCGTTGTCCTCGTCGTGGTCCCTGTCGTTTTCACTGATGCTGCCGTTTTGTTTATTTGCGTTCACGTGCCTGTTCTTGACATGCTTGTTGACCCTTTAACAGCTCCTGGATATGAAGGTTGCAAGATGGAAATGAACGACAACAGCAGAATCTTTAAGACGCTAACATCCATCACAGACAACACCGTTGAGAAATGTATTGAATTCGCTAAAGCTCGGCAAGACGGATCACCCATACTTTACGCTGGGGTGTTGGGAGAAGAGTGCTCGTATGGGCTGAAAAACCCGGAGAACATCGCAAGCCTCCCAGCAGTTGATGACTCTATGTGCGACACTGCCTGCCCTGGAAATCCCGATCAGAGATGTGGTGGATCGGGACTTATTTCAGTCTACAGTGGTAAGTTACGCTTTTCTATTGGATATTCTGAGAAACCTATTGTAGTGATTATCGGAATTCAAGCATAGTAATCATATAGACGTACGCAATGCGGCCATTTTAGAGGGTGTTCTTTATCTGAAATCAGGAACAGTGAACGCATAGAGTACCTATTAAAATAACAGATCATGCTGCTATGCGCATTAATTGCAGATGGAGGAAATGAAAAGTTGGTTTATTTCTTTATCTGAAGTTTGTCATGTTTATCTAGAAATGAATGGATTTTCAAGTCGATCAATACCAGCCCCAATTATTGTAAATTGATGTCTTTACTCATTACGTTTTAGCAACCAAGGTCCACTGCAAAAGACATGTCCCGTAACAATTAAGCCCATGATTCATAATTTCGTTTCCTTCTTTTTTTCAGTAAATGGTGGATTCTGTAGCGGTCCAGTTTTGTCCAACGGCGAGCAGGTCGTTCAGCCGACGCCTGATTTTTTCTATTTCGGAACCGTCGTCGACTTCACTTGCAACCCCGGGTTTGAGCTACAGGGGGCGCCCTCCGTGCAATGCGTCATGGGTTCTTCTGGGACTGCACAGGTCACGTGGAACAACTTTACACCCGAATGCTTCGGTGAGCTTCAACTTTAATCGTATAAAACTATAATCCCAACACTAGAACCAAATAATAGCATATGAATACTGCAACTACACACCAAATTCAATCGATCTAAACCACGTCAACCAAAATAATTTAAAGAAAGTGAAAAATCCCTGCATTATTGGTTGAATTAAACACTTTTCTGTAAATTCCACCCCAGCCGCTGATATGACCACTAGCAAGGCTACAGCGCATCCAGGCGGTAACGGAGCAGGTACGTTGAGTTCATGGTCGTATTTTTCATGGGTGTTTTCTATGTACGATGGCGTCATGCATTCGTTCATGCATTCGTTCCGGCTTTGGTTATGTTTTTACAGCTCTTAAATTATAATTATTATTATAATCCTGTGCCCTACCACTAGACCACACGTTGTCACTTATAATGCTGTATTGTTGATTGTTTGTTTGCTACTGCAGAGCCAGGAACAGCGCCACCAGGCGGTAATGGAGTAGGTATGTTGAATTCACGGTCGTAACTTCCAAGATGGTTTTCTCTAAACGTTTCTAGAATAATTTTCCCCAGCCAATATTGCTCATTGTAAACATACCATTGTACATCAGATGTACATCAGATTCGAACCAGCCAACCGATCCCGTTAGCTCTGTAGTCGAGTGGTAAGACGTCTGCACTAGAAAGCAGGAGGTCGTGGGTTCGAACTTTCACTCGGGAGGTAGCACACTGAGTATACAGTGTTTATACGTCGGTGAAAGGCAAAACCTAATTTGATATCGTATATTCTCACACAATCATCGTGCTGCCAAATTATCCCAAGCGACGGAAGTATTCTTTTATACCATTTTCATTTGAAAAAGCTTGTGACTCGCGATTAGATGGCTTACTGGGACTTGTGATGGACTCATGGTGCGCTCTATTCTGGGCCAGCGATTGAGCTGTTGCTGATGATAGGACAAACATTTCTGGCAGTGTTTACGTACCGTAAGCATCCAGCTGCGAACCAGCTACGAACAAAAAATGACATTACGTGTTGGATGATAATCTCACCTGCATGATTTTTTTTAGCAATATATTTATCTTGCTGAACAGTTTCCTATATACGTCAGCTGGGCACAGGGGCGGATCCAGGATTTTCAAAAAGGGGGGGGCACAAAAACTTTGTGCGCGTTGCACACATAACGAGACTGAAGCGCGAAATCCCTTGCGGGCGGGGTTGAGGGCACTGGAAGCTCTACGATTTTAGATGTTCTCTCCTACATCATGAGTATTTTAAGCCATTAAGAGCAAAATTCACAATGTTTATTTTTTAATTTGAATAACACTAATTTTTTTCTATCAAATATAGAATTTAAAGTCACTGTTGATGTTAGTTGAAAATGAACCCCAAAATTAGAAAGTGCTGATGACAGCCCCCGGGTGAAAAAAAAAATGAACATGCGTTATTTTGCGAGCGAGCGGAGCGAGCGAGCCAAAAAAAGTCATGTTTACTATTAAAACATACCTTTCTACCCAGAAATTTGCCTTGCAAACAAAGAAAATAAAATAAATTGAATTTCATTAGGGGACCGCCTGCCCCAAGCAGCCCCTACCCCCACCCCACCCCATTTGGGTTGATGTTATTGTCGTTTCATTTTTTTTTTTTCCATTTTTTTTGCTTCTATCATCATTAATAATATCCTTTTCGTTTTGCCCCTCTCCTGGTATTTTCTTTCTTTTACCATGTAATATAATTGGTGATTTTAGTTCAATTCGTATTTTCTCCATTATCATCCCGTTTGTGTGGGGGTGTGTGTGCGGGTTTGTTTATGGTGTAAATCGAGCTCGCCTGTGTCCCAGTATAATGTGTGGTAACTGCGGTCACATATATACTTACTTTGTATACACTTGTATACACTTTAACCACCATTTTTTCCATGTTCTTTTGAAGTTTGCAGGCTAAATAATTTAAGACGAAATGAATCGTCTGCATTCTGCAAGTGTTGTCGAATCACTTCAAGGAATGTCAAGGCCTGAGGAAAATCGTTTATTTGTAATTTTTTTGGGGGGGGGCTCCGATTTTCTTAAAAAGAAAACAAAAAAACAACCTTTTATTTAACGGAAATGCAAACTGCATCCAAATTCCAATTTCCAAAATATGAAAAACTTTGCCTGCACAAATTTCCCGAAAGCGGCAGCGTTCCTGAGCTGCCGCTTTCACATACAAGGTTTCAAAATAGTCACATACAAGATTTCTGGCTACGCAACCGGCAGTCCCAGGCATCACAGGGGAGCCTCCTAGCAACAGTATTTCTAAGCAACCAGGTTGGAATGTGATGGGCATGCAGCCATGCACCTGTGGCTCAGATAGCTAATCACTCCAGTTGCGCGTGGAAGGAAGTCATATTCATGAAAGCAGACGGTCCGTGATGAAAGCAACCAATGGCATATTTATTTGCCGGGAACCGGCTCATTTCATTGGCTGAGATACTATCATCACTGTTAATCATCTAAGAATCTTCCAATTACTGGCGGCAAGTTCTCAAAGGCCTTAAAGTTCGGTGGCCTACAGCTGAACCCAAATGTATATGCTTTGTAACGAACAAGAGTGGCATTGTATCAATTTGAACAATGCGGCTATCAATCATTCTCTGGAAAAGCTTTTCGGAGCTGAGATTTTATTTGGGCATTTTTTTTTCTCAGAGACAGGGGAAAACTTTATGCGAAAAATGTGGGAAACTGACTTGAACGTGAAATTTCACCTCCGCGTTGTGTACATGCACATAGATAAACGATTGGGGGATAATATTCCAAGTCCAAATAATTCATTAAATGTAGGGCTCCCGATGTCTTTTTTTCGTAGCACGATTTTATTCTTCGCTTCTTTAAAAAATAAAACTGAATGGCCTACATTATTTTTGTAAATGTTACTCTAGAATATAATTATTTCGGAATACATTTTGAAATTAAGTTTGAAGTCAAAGGGCTGTTGATAATCTTATTCGTATTCCTTTTAAAATTAGGAAAAACTAAGCATAATTCGTATGAAAATTTACCCTGGAATCTACAAAAGAATTAACTGAGAGTTCAGAACTTAATGGGCTAGGGTGTTTGAAATCGTTTTACTTTAAAAATAAATCGAGAGAACAAGACATACTAAATCGTATTAAAAAATAACCCCTATTTATTTGATGTCTCTCTCTATCTGAGGCCGGGACAATATAAAAGGGATGACGATTAATTCTTCGTGTATTTAAAAAATAAAACGCATGGCCTACATTATTTTGTAAAAATGTTTTACTCTGGAATATATTTTGGAATATATTTTGACGCTATTATTTGAGGGATGTTGTTAATCCTGATCATATTCATTTAAAAATAAGAAAAACCGAGCATAATTCGTATTAAATTTCCCCTGGAATCTACAAAAGAATTAACTTAGAGTGCAAACTTTAACGGGCTAGGTTTTTTTTTAATCATTTTACTTTTAAAAAAATATTTAGAGAACCAGACGTAAATCTCTCTCTGAGGCCGGGAAAATAAAAAAAAGGGGATGACGATTTTATTCTTCACGTGGCCTACATTATTTCGTGTACCAGTACATGTTCTACTCTAGAATATATTTTGGAATATATTTTGACATGAAGCATTAAATGCAAGTGCTGTATTAAATGTGCCCCCTATTCCAGCCGGGAAATAGAAAAGTGTCTTATAAAAATATATTCTTGCTTTGAAAGAAATTTTGAGACAATGATTGACAGGCGACCTTCAAAACTTATACATTGTATATTTTTGTTGATAATTATGTATGATAGTTATGTTCAAAGCGATTGATTTGATGACCGCCCGCCATAATAACTCCTCAAAAACGAAAAAGATAGCCATGTTCTCAGAGGGATGTATTTAATGCCCGCCCGCCCTAAGACGACTCGTAAAAAATTAAAAAAAAAAAAAACAGTTGCGAAAAGGGGGGGGGGGGGCACGGGCCGGGTGTGCCCCCATCTGGATCCGCGCGTGGCTGGGCATGAGCTCCATGACTGATATTGGCCGGCCCCTGGTGCGGTACAGCTTGCTTACCACACTCTAAAAAAAATCATTAGTCAGATTTAACTAGAAACCAGTCAAATTTGACTGGCCATCATTTAGGGTCAGCTGGGTATCAATCTGACTATACTAGATATTTCCAGTTAATACCGAAAAACAATTATACAATTAACTAAGATTGGAGTCAAATCCAACTACTTTCTCAAGTCAAAGAATGAAACCTTGCATGTTCAACTAAATTCCTTGTCAATTTTCAATAACTAAGAAAACCAGTTAATATTTTGACTAGGTTGTTTTTTAGAGTGTAAGACGATATGATGAAGCTCACGTTTTCTTCACGATCCCATCAGATGCAGGGTTGGTTCTTGGCATCTTAAATACAGTGATCTTGGTCACAAGCGCCATCGCGATCGGAATCTACTGCTCCGTCATCAGGTAAAACCAGGTATTCCTTTAAACTAAAAGCACGGAGAGCAGTCGGACGGTTTTCTACCGATTTCAGAGCTTATACGTCTACGCCTATACACTCTCTAAATTCCAAAGAGTGAAATTAGGGACTAGACATGTTAGAGTGAAAATCACTCTCATTTTTGATTGAAATAGTCTGAAAATGAACCACTTCAGTCGAAGCTCGAGTGAAAACTCCATCTTTACGATTGAAGGAATTCACTCTGAAACGTCTAGTCTCTAGTTTCCGACTGTGGGAGTGAATCTTCATTCGAATGGAGTGAATTTTCACTCTTTGGAATTATGAGAGCAGACCTTTGTGAAAAAGTTCGCGTATAGTTCATTGGACAGATTAACCGAAAAACCACGTCACAATGCCAACCAGATTATGGGAATTAAGACCATGACACGGAATGAAACATGTGTTTATTGTTTTCTTCTTTGGAGACTGCTTTATATAGAATGCCGGGCTGCAAATTGCCTGTGTCACATAATGATTCTTACGTTGCTCCTGGATGACATTGCACTTATCAACCAAAATGTCACGTAGTTTTTTTTATGGTATCTTAAGATGCAGAAAAAGAGAGGGTTCCCCTGCCTTACCTGATGGTCATGCAAGGACTGGCTCTGTGGAAAAGAACAGCGGTGACGAGGACGACCAGAAACCGACTGCCAGCCCGCCGGGCCCTGATCACGGGGTCGTGCAGCAGCAAGAGCTCCGTGAGTACAGCACGGTCATCATCGATGATGGCGAATCCAGCACCGCTAGGGATACTAGAACCAACTCACAGCCACATCTGTATGAACAGCCAACCGTGCGGAAAAATTAATGACCCCAGATTATGCAAACGTGAACAAAAAAAACAGAGATTGCTGATTGATGGTACAGTTATTGAATTTGCTTTCAAAATGTGACCAGCCGATAAATACACTCTTGTGACTTTAGAAAGATTTATGTCTTACTTACACGCAACATGTAAATATTTTATTCTCGTGGTATAACAATTACCTTTCTCTGTCATTTATCTCTTATTAGCCAAGCATTCAGACAACTTTTGAGCTTCCATGTTAAAGGAAATATAGTCTTGGTCACAACACTGTACAACATATTTGTTTTTCTGTATTGTTTTATTATTGTTATTGCATGTTCATGTAGGCTACATTAATTTGTTTTCTCATATTGAAAGTTGGCACCGTTTATTTTATTGTATCGATATCGTCAGCCTTTTTTTGTTTTTATCAGTAAAGTATAACATAAAATTCCATGTTTTTAAATTATCAGAACGAATATTCGATTTTGTAAAGCAAAGCTTCGAGTGAATACATCCGTAGTCTTGGTCCCAGACTGTTTTTTTATTCCCCTATTTTGCAGCCAGTCCCGTGACAAACGCGGTTAAGTTGCCGTGACAGTCAGTAGAGGTCTCTGTCGACAAGATGAATCAAATCCAGTATTGGCAATATTGGCAGCGCTACCCAATTATTCCGAGCATACAGCTCACGCGCACGCATTCACTTGTATACAGCGCGCGTGAGGTATGCTCGGACTTTCCTGGGTAGGGCTGCCAATATTGCCAAGACTTGACTTGATTCATTGGTAGCCAGCTCGATTGTCACTGACCGGCTGTATAAGGGGAATAAAAAAAAGCCAGTCTTGAACCAAAGACTATTAGTACATCCCCAGAAGATTCAAAACACAGAATGCAAACTAACACCAAATTTCAAAGTTCTTACAATGAAATCTTTTTAACACCCATTTTTTTCCCTTATGGTAAGATCTTGCTGCACAATACCAGAACGTGCTTGTTTCAGATTTATTTGCCAGTTCATTTCTGTGTAAGTAATTTAACAAAAAAAATTTGAATACAATTGTATAAAATTTGATTTGATGAGTTGTTAAATAATTGCGTCTTCTTATAATAAGAATAATTTTTACCTTGCAGATTATTGCAAACAATAGGCCTAAGTATAATCGCAAGTCAGACGGAGCCAATTATTATGCAGACTGTCCGCTTGTAATGGCTTGTAATGTGTTAATGGGTGTATTATCATTATTATTATTATCATTATTATAATTCATTATTATAATTCATTACTTTAAAAAGTTTACATCGAAAATGTAAGTGTAATGCTGACAGCTTATGGTGTCGGCCCAATAAGGCGGTTTTATGCGGATCAATACTAATCATGATTATTTTGATTGGAACTCAAAGGGCAAGGCTCTGTGTGAAACAACGAATAGTTTTATTCGGACTGTTTCATCAAAATATTGATCATTAATGTATTTTTGTTTTGAGTTAAATGTTTAGCATCGAACGGGTAATGAATTTTGTATCTTGACTGATGATGATTTAATATAGCCTAGGTTAGCTGGACGTCCGAAAAGAATGTAGAAAAGATTCAAAAATGATTCAAAGGACGCCTTGTGGATCACGACGCGTTCGATTTGTTAAAAAATATTTTGTAGTCTTATATCTTACTCAGAAATTATAACATTATTTTTTTTCATTGAAATAATTTCTCAATCGTGTTTCTATACCGATTGAAGACAATTGGAAGTCCCGATTTAATGTGCTGCAAGGTGGTAGACATTTTTGACAGTAAGACATCTGTATAGATTAGTTGTAATGCGTGTAAGCTGATTTTCACGCGAAGGTTAATGTATGATCATGTATATGCGGCTGGAGAAAATTGTAATAATATCAAACAAATACCCAGAATAATGAATACAACAATGTTGACTGTTTGTACAGTTTCATAAAATGTATTTACATGCCTATACGTTCATGTGGTGATGCATGAGGCGAAATTCCGTAGTTTAATGACCATTGATTATCTGCCAATCGCAGCATGTACAAGGGTATTATATGTTTTCCTTCTCATTTTAATCAAGTTCCCTGTTTTTATGCAGATCAATAATCTTTACGCGTTTCTTAAACAGCGCCCTCCCTTGGAATGACACACGCGTTCCAACGCCCAACCAATCGAATCATTTCAAAACATCACGTGGTAACTGCCGCGAATAATCAGCAAACGTCATATCGTGTTTTTTCGTCGTGCGGTCGGACGGGCGAGGTGAGTTCTGCTATTTTTCTGTCTTTTTAAATTTATATTTTTAAAAATATTTAAGAGATGTTTTATTGTGTAATGCTCCAAGAATGTAGTGATTCATTTGTAGAATTATTGGATAATCTGAGGCTGAAATATCGGGGTTTAATGTCACTTGTCAGTGCTGTCAAAAATTACGGACGGCGGGTACGGGTGGGCATTGTGGGTGTGTACTCTGTCGGACAGCATTTAATAATGCTTGCAATATGCCATTAATATATATTTTTTTTTAATAATAATACGACGAAACAAGTATGCAAACATCCAAATATAAAATGATTAAATTATCACAAAAATACCTTACTGGATTGTTATGGAATGGCAGTCTCAAGCATCCTGTAAAATCGTGGCTCCTGGTGGCAGTGGTGTGCTGACATTTTCAACTCGATCAATTCAAGGAAAGTTGTAATGTATTTTTCCCAACGCTGGTCGGCCTGATTAAGAAAAAGGAGTGAGTTAAGTTGGCCTGATTTTGTTTAAGTTTTGCATGTTTTTGAGCACTAGTTAAGGTCCAATCTAACCTAGGGTAAAAGGGGGAGTATTATTTAATCGACCACTTAAGGAAAACTGGCACTGCTTTGTGTAAATGAGAATGTGGGATCTCAACCATAATTACTCATGACATCATGGTATAATAATGTTTGCAGCATAGCATCAACCCTAGTCAGACCCACGGTTTTTGCTTAGTATTTTAAGCGATCGGTTGGATCCGGTCGAATATATACCCCCACTTAATGGTAAACAGATAGGATGCGGGAGAATTTGACCAGATAAGGAAAACCAGCACTGCCTAGTGTAACTGACAGAGTGAGATCTATTACATGATCATGTTCTTACTTTGTTTGCAGCCTATAATCCACCCTAGTCAGACCCATGGTTTGTGATGTATGTATCAAGTTGTCGAATTCTCCCTCCGGTCGAAAATACGGGAAAGATTCCCATATCTGGCCATCACTTATTTTTCCCTTAAATGACCTATCAGCCATCAGAAAGTGATAATATATCCTAAAAAGTCAAAATTAGCAGTGACAAATTTTGAATTTTGACTGAGAAAACACTTAGAAATTTTCAGACCAGTCCCATAGGGTTTGTGCACAATGTAAAAAGTGATTGCCAGATATGGGAATCTTTCCAAAATACCCCCTCTTACCCTACCTGTAATTTGATTATACTTTGATAATCATCACGTAGCCACCTCAAACTTGAAAATCCAGTAAAGTACATTCGAATGTTGATTGGAATATATATGCTGATTGTCTTGTTCACCACCTGTGTGAATCACACACAGAAAACCTGCTGTACCTGTGGCATTGGTGGGTGGATGATTGAAACTGAGTCACAGTCTGTGGATGAGTAAGACCATGGCAGCAAGGAACAGAAGTAGTCAGAACTCTTGGGCAATTTACATTTTTTACCATTAACATTCCAATACCTCAGGAATACCTATATGGCTAAAGCCTGGACCATTCATTGCGTGACTGCAAGCAGCCTTTGAACACGATGATCGTAGCCGCCCTTTTAGTTGGTAACCATCAACTTCCTAAGTCATGTCACGTCGTTTCTCTTTTTTGAATTTTTTTTCAGGTTTTAACAAATGTGCAGTTGTTAGATGGGAGTTATGAAATCAAGTTATCGATGTGCAGTTGTTGGTCCTTAAAAGCACTATCTGTTCCTGTCATTTGAAGATAAATTGAATTTTTTGCAATAGGCCTAAGTTATCTTCTTTTTGAAATTTTTGATTGGCAGTACATCATTTATGAAATATGACATTTTGGGAAATAGAGAATAGGGGAGTGAGCAACTGAGTAAAGTGGCCTCCAGGTGCTTTCTATTGTTGCTTTCGAGCGTGGTGACAATCATAATCACTTTGAAGTACTAGAGTTCTGACTTTCTGTTTCTTGCTCCATGGTAAGACAGAATAATAAGATGAACTGAATGCTCCTCCTTCACACATTTGCTTGTTTACCCCCCTTTTTTTCTCTTTTTTTTTACATCATCTTTTAGAGGTGCTGATGAGTGCAGCTTTATTACTTTTTGTGACAAGATTTAATTCATTGTTTAACCCTAACCTTCCCAAATCCTCCAAAATCCTCTTTGCAAAATGGAGGATTTTGCAGGATTGAGGCTCTATGGCAAAAAAGTGTGGCTGATTTTGGAGGATGCACTGTGTCAAGGTCTTGGGCCGGACCGTGTGTTGTTACTGGGTTCATGATTTATTTGGCGAAGCCGTGAATGAGTATGAGTATGCGCAAGGGTTGACACGGCGCACACGAGCGCGTGGTTGCTATAATTCGTCGGTTCAGAGTGTGACATCGCGTAGCTGCAATGGACTGGATGAGAACGTCACCCGTACGCTGAATTCGGGCGCAATTCAAACATGACTATGCAATTTTTGATTTGAAATCAAGATCTCAAAATATATTGTTTCGGAATACACACCATTCACTGAACTAAAACTTCATCGGGTTAGTTGTTAAGTACCCTTCTTTAGATTTTGAGCACTTTTGTTGCTTCAAACGAACCTAATGCACAAATTACAAATGATGGCCTGTACCTTTAAAAGCACCTGAAAGAAAAAATTGAACTTACCCCAAACCAAATCGTCATAATGAATCTTTCAAGTGACAGATGTTTCCTTTTTAGTCCCGTTGAACAAAAAACCCTATTCAGCACAGTGAGTCAGAATGCCTACCCAGTTTTTTTCCTTCTTATAATTTGCGGTTTTAGTCAGCACGGTCCTCATCACTTCTCTGCATAATCATGCCGAGAGTGTCTCATCACTCGACTGACTGATGGTGACGATGACGACTGGCCATTCACCAGTAAGGATCACAGGTCACTCGCAACAGCTCGCTGTACCTTAGGCAGAACTGCAGTAGAGATATACCCAAGTCTATACTAAATACTCTAAACCCTCCCGCATGATACTGATTCAGCGGTAGTCTGTCAGTTAGTGGTGTGCATTTACGGGTAGGACAGGTTGCGGGTGCACTATTGAAGTAAAACACGGGTTTAAAGTACCGTAAAAGAAACCAAGTCCCAAAATTCAAATCCTGGAGGTTGTCTAAAGGGCTTTATAGCTTTACGGTGTAAACTGCAACTTTTGCGAGCGTCATCTGTCATGCGTTAAAATGCGCATTAAAATGTGAAATCTGTTTGAGTTTCCATGTATCCCGAATGGCATTCAGAACCTTTCCTTTTCATTGTCTGAGAAGTTACTAAGTAATTTGTAAAGTTGGTTACGGGTACCCGATTCCATAATCTAGAACCGGTTCGTGACATCAGCGGTCGGGTACCCTGTTCCGATGCACATCCCTGCTGTCAGTAACCGTTTGTTTCACTACAGGAGGCGATAACGCTGTTATTTGTTCAACCGAGTGCACATCATGTTTACATGGACTTACTGATAGTTCAGCAATTGTGTTCTGCAGGTTTGGATTCTTACATCACCTTTTTGTTTGTCTCGGCAGCATTAAATTACAATTTATCCAATTTTGTTGACTTCCTCTGTTGTAAGTTGTAATTGTCCTTCTTTTTACATTCCAGATTTGTGACGGTGCATCAGCCAGCAGTGGAGGTCATCGGTTAGTGCCTTATCTATAACTTTATCCTTTTCTTCGTCAGACTCGGAGCATGCAGACTGCAGATATGCCTTCAGGTAAGTCTGAAATTTGCCCTCAAATTTGCGACTACATTGTATTTCATGTTAAAATTTATGCCTCAGTCTGATTTGTTCTCATCGTTCATACTGGGATTTTCTACATACACTGTAAATGGTGTGGTCCCCAATTCCCCAAAAGATACCAGATTAGTTTTTGTTTCCTGTAAATTTGCTAGGTTTGGGATTTTTTTCTTCAGGGAGGGGGGGGGGGGGGGGTTGCACTGGATTTTGTTTTAAGTTGTCAATTTCGACCGAATCAATTACTGTTGTTTATACAAAAACAAATTCCAAACCTCTGTGATTGTTCTATGAATTGTAAACAATTTTTGAAAAAGCAGAAATGATTTATATTTTAAGAAGTGAGCCCAATATTTCTCACTTCAATAAAAACAGGAAGTTATTACTGTTCCCACTCATGCTCAGTTGTACAAATCTAGTCGTGAATACTAACACAACCCATCCACGCAAAATCCAGATTGCCATAAATGGTGAATCATTTGTCAAATCGCAAGCCCCTCATCAACATTTTTCAAGCTAGCTAGGGTGTTTTTTTGCCGTGCCCGCCTTATTTGGACGAGGACGGCTGCAACGAGGTGAAATTTGATCCCCAGTCAGTCTGTTGATAGATAGGCTTTTCTCCAGTCTGTTGATGGAAAGTCTTCTCTCCAGTCTGTCTCTTGTCTCTCCTCATCAGACCTGGACAAAACGAAGAGCTTCGCATTTTTTATGCACGCGTCTGGCAGCGATAAAATGACCCGAGTGAACTGCCACTTAAGAATATGTACAAAGTAAATTGGGCGTGTGGGCAGCGTGCAGCCTGAATAGATGTCTTCGTTTTAGAAAAAAATGCGAAGACATTTTCCCCTTCAAGATAAATTTTTCAGCAAAAAAAAAGAACTCTCTTGGCCTACGGTTCTATAAAATTCACGTACTGTACATGTAGGCCCCTATAATAATATGAAGGATTTTTTAAAGCATTCTTTCATTAACCCTCCTATGCAAACATACATTCTGGGCCAAGTAGTCCTTTCAGTCAAAATCAACCAAATGACTATTTTCAAAAAGTTAATAATTCCCAGTCTACATAAAGCAGGATGGACTGGCTGCGACCAAATTTTCTACAGCTTTGCTTTGACTGTGGGTGATTGATAAGCCAGCTGTGCCCACAACTTGACCGCTTTGCCTGTTCATGGTCTGTTGATTTAGTTTGACTAGTCCCAGTGCTTGCTTGACATATAATCAGACTGCTGGTGACTAGCCTGTGCTATGAAAACTTTGACTGTCTGTGACTGTTTAAATAGCAGGAGGATTAGGGCACATGTACAATGCAGATTTAGGGAAAAAAGTGGCTAATTTGGAATATTTTATTTCTAAGCGTGGGTACTTAGCAAGCCCTTCTTACACTCCAAACAATTTCACCTTTTGCTTACAAATTTGAGAGGTGAAAACTGAAAGTATATATATATGGAACAATTTGTTATTAACTTGAATCACATGATTTTTCTCTTCAGATGCAACTGACAATTTGTTTTTTTCTTGGAAAATCCCTTAAAATTAATGGTTGACAAATACTGCATCCAAATAACAGGTGATTAAAATGACCAGAATCGATGTTGATAATATCTCTTTTGGAATTTGCAATCTTGAATCTTGGGCTTTTGTGACATTCGTGCCCGCTCTGGCCTAGGGATGTACATGTAGGCCTATCCTTACAATTCAATTAATTGAAGCTTTAGGGCCTATAGGCTTGTGGTACAGTCACGATGAATGTGCCTCTTGTATAAATAGCCCTGATAAGATTTGTCATCAGTAGTCTTCTGACATTTAAAGAAGAAACAAAAATATTCGAAAAAGGAAAACACTGCAGAAAGAATTCTTTTGTGACTTGAGGGGTTATATTTGACTGAGTCATATCGGTGGAATCTTGGCCGTATATTCTAGACTCTTGAGGGCATGGTCTTGTCAATTTGTACAGATAAACGATTTAGAAATATTATCTGTTGGAAATCAGTTGCAACTTGATGTTCTGAAACATGTTTTCTCTGAAGACTGGTTTTTATCATTGTGAGCTTGTGAAAATGAAGTATTTCATTTTTAGGCAATCTGTAATAAATCCATAAATGCACATACACAACTTGAAGCAGGCAACATTTGTGAGGAAAATTTTAGCCATTCTTAATTTCTAACTTAAACTTACAATGTATGTCTTATTACATGTACTTAACCCTAGCCTTCCCAAATCCTCCCAAATCCTCTTTGCAAAATGGAGAATTTTGCAGGATTGAGGCTGTATGCCATTTTTACATGGAGGCAGTTGGAGGATTTTGCAGGATTGAGGTTATACATCCTGGTTAAAATGCCTAGGGAGTTCATCTTAATTAAACATCTGATTTTTGTGTAGGGTGGAAAAGTGTTACATTTTTATGACACCGTTTGTTTGCCCGCTTGCTGGGAAAATTGCATAGTTTTGGAAGCAACTTCTAAATTTTATGTGCGCAAGAAATGTGAAACTCAGAAAAATAGTGCTTTTATAGGCCAAATGAATGTAAAAATATATAAACGGCTTGGGATTGGAGTTTGCAAATCTTGATTGAGGAAGTATTCAACACTAAACAATGTTCAACGACTTATTTTGAATTTAGTTGGAAAAACAAGCTCCTAGATATTTTTTTCCGTCTCTTCAAAATGAGCTTCATGTACAGTGTTTAGAAATTAAGATCATCACACAATGGATATTTTGTGAAACCCAAATCTACATTGGCTCATGAGTACACAAATTAACGGAAAGATTTCCATATAAGAAGTTCACTAATTTTCCTCTGTATTGACTAACAAGCCCCCAGATAGCAATTTCATGTCATCAAAGTCAATTTGAGCAGTGAGAAAATACAAGCATTTTCTTAGAAAACACTTACAATTGTTCAGTCCACTCTCATAGGGTTTGTACACAGGGTGTTGAGTGAACTTCTTATATGGAAATCTTTCCAATTAAACTACTACAGGACGTGTTTATATTTATCTGCTTGTATGCATATTTGCAAGAAGGAATTGAGTACAGTCGCCGTGTATACTCTCTCAGTTAATAATGCCGTAATGGGATTTTCTGCATCGGAAAACATCAATGATTAATTGGGGTTATAGTTGCACTGCCCTCGCATGAATCACCGCACAAACCAAATTGCCGCAGTCCATTATGCTAATTATCGGCGAGGCCCGACGCTCCAGCGGCAGTCCTAACGGAGCTGTTCTGACCTTGCACTGCAAGAGTGCTTCGCAGCGAAAGCGACATTTTGGCGACAGAATCGTAGAAAAACCTGCCACTTCCAAAATGACTTGTAGTTTCAAAATTAGCATGCAGCCCACTTAATATATGACTGAGTCAAGTTAGTGAGAGAGGTGTTCCAGGGGTGTGAAATCTCAGCTTTAAAGCTGATTTCAGGTTTTTTTGTTTTGGATTTCAGCTTTTTTCCATTACTTACTGTGTACAAATGTATAGGAAATTTCCAAAGTTCAGCTTTTTTACACCTTTTTCAGCTATTTTTATCAGTGGTCACTCGCACCCCTGTGTTCTCACTCACAGTCACACGTTACATTTACATATGTACATGTAGCTTAAATTGTTTTTCTCAATTTTCAAGTTTGATTTTTTTCTTCAAATAACGTCATCAAATGAAACCCTAATGTACCGCTTCCATTGTCTGGGCCGATGCGCAAGTCAAACCACATGCTCCCTACAGCGTGTAATTGGCTCACGACTGTTGCCGAAAGGTGGCAAACTGATTTCCCGCCCGCATGTAACTTTTTTGATAACGTCGATGGCGGGACCACACATGGGTACATGTACAGTCATTGAGCAGTGATTGCATTATGCATGCGTCGTTGACAGTTTTCTGATGAACAGTGCGTTCATTCAAGAGTTGAAGATGATGATGAATTTTGAGATTAATATACAGTATATTAACTGTACATGTAGATATAGTATTTGGTCATTCTACAGGCTCTTCATGAGTGGAGTTTTGGCCTATGTTTAACCCTAGCCTTCCCAAATCCTCAAAAATCCTCATTGCAAAATGGAGAATTTTGAAGGATTGAGGCTGTGACCAAAATGTGTGGCTGATTTTGGAGGATGCACTGTGTCAAGGTCTTGGGCCAGTGCTTGTGTTGTTTAGGCAAAAGAAAAAATAGTTTTGCTTCCGGTTTCCCTACCTACCCTATTCTGACATTTTACCCTATTTTTTTTATGGGAAAAATGAGAAAAAAACACCCAAAACCATCAATTACTACCTTTTACCTTGACTACACGTAGACACCTCCATATGATCGTACACAAAAAATATTGCCCAAAACCTACCCTTTTCTGACAGCCCCTACCCTATTTTTTTGTGGGAAAAATGAGAAAAAACACCCAAAACCATCAATTACTACCTTTTACGATTTACTACACGTAGACACCTCCATATGATCGTACACAAAAAATATTGCCCCCCCCCCCCCAAAAAAAATTCCCTACCTACAGTATTTTTGAATACCATGTAATCGGAAGCAGAACTATTTTTTTGGGCCTTATGCTCAGCCATGCATAAATTTAGGCCTAGATTATACTTGAAATCCTCTGCACTGTTGCAGGATGTCACTGGCTCTGCCTTAAGATAATTATTGACAGTGATGGCTGGAGGATTTTTCAGGATTGAGGCAGTGGTCACCCCTCCAAGGATCACATTCAAGAAAAAATTTGGAGGGTTGAGGCTGTATGCAATTTTGACATCCAGGAGGCAGTTGGAGAATTTTGCAGGATTGAGGTTGCATCCAAGCGAAAATGCCTAGGGAGTTAATACAAAATTGTATTATTAAATTCTAAAAATTATCATCATCTTTCAGAAATCAAGAAGAACTCTGGGGTGGCGTTTGAGTTGGTGTTCAAGGAGCCGTCGAAGGAAGCCATCAAGAGCCCCGGACAGTCGCCGTCCACCAAACCCAGCACCTTGGAGGAAATTCAGAAGAAGCAACAGGCGGCCAAGGAGAGGAGAGAGGTAAGGGCCAAACAAGTTTAGAATTTTGTTCCAGATTTTCTTCTTTGTTTTTTCTGCTTCAAGTATACCACAAAAGTGGGCCCTTATGAGCAATGTTACAAGTATTTTATCTTTCTTCTTTTTTTGGCACAACAGCAACAAGAGAGGGAGAGACTGAAGCTGGTAGCCGTCACCAACAGCAAACTAGAAGAGAGCAAAGCCATCCGAAAGGAGAAGGAGGAGCAGTACAGGAAGGAGGCGGAGGAGAAGCTGGAAGGCAAGTTCAAGAAACACAAGGAGAACACGCTGGCCCAGGAGGAGGCTAGAGAGGAGAAACAGAAAGAATTGGTGAGTAGTCATGTCCACCCTACCCCAGCTCCCTCTTCCCCTCAAAGACAGATTGTAGGCCCGTGGATGTGCCATTAAGTGGACTGCCTTCCCTCACTTCTTCATGTAGCACCCCTGAGCTATAAATTTTGCCTATTCTTGAGCTGATGCCACAAAATGAGTCTTGAGTTAGGCTAAGGCAGCTCCAGCATCACTAGAATCGATCAGGGTTTTGTCAAGGAGTCATGACTCCATTGAAAATGCACTCCAAATTAAAACACGCCCTCCCCCCCAAGAACCCCCCCTCCCGAGGCGCGCCCCCCCCCCCCCCCAAAAAAAAATGGAAGGAAAAAAATATTGAACAGTCCATCAAAATCTCACATTACCTGTAACACTGCATGCACATACAAGTAAGTTTCCACATATTTCCCAGACTTCCCTCTTTTCAGAAACTCCCCCCTCCCCTCCCAGCACACACCCAGCCCCGCCTACCACCCCCACCCCACCCCACCCACCACCCCCAACCAACCCCACCCCAGAGGGAAAATATCAACGGTCTAACAATTACGTTTCCAGTATTAAAAAATCCGGTTTTAAAATGTTCACGCCTGAAATTTTTTCCACATTGTTTTAACAGTTATTCAGTAATTAAAATGTAAACCGTTAAGAGCCTGTAATTTATTTCGCTGCTATGCATATTACTTTAGTTGTTTTGTTTTTCTTTAAATTGCAGTGAACAGACTGTAAGTGCCATTTGAATTCAACTGAAAAAAAATTGCCACTTTACACCCTACTAAATAACAATTCACACTGTCTGACACAAAGAGTACATGTTCGGGCCTGATTATCATAGTCTAGGCATTATGCAGTCGGGAAAGACGAATGTTGAAACACGTGCAGCATATACGAGGTCTATGCAGCGCGTCAAAATGTGTCTTTCTACAATGTTAGCTGATCCCTGGGTGAGTCATCGTGACACACAGACACACACACCGCACAGACGTGGGTCTGCATTTACATTGAGCACACCACCCTGTCTGGCACGGGGAGAAAAAAAAAGTCAAAAAGAAGTTGAAAAAAATGTGCCCGTCACAAATTCCATTTTGCCCGTGGATGTTAGATTTTTCTGAATTGTGATATGCATAATTTGTAATGACATGAACAAGTTGTGGTCTGGATTTGCTTTTTCTTAAGTCTGAAGTGATGAATTTTTTAAGGGCATTAATGTTTTATTAATCGAGTTTGCAGTCGCGCTTGTAAATCACTGAATTTCTTGGACAATGCATACATATGTACCCTCTGTTTAAGTATGCGATCTGTGTATTTATACGCATATATATCGCTTGAGGCACTGTTTGTATATCTTGCCTCTGACAGGCTATCAAGCCTTTGACCTGAATTTTCTGGAAAGAAATGTTTGCAATGATGGAATGATTTTACTTTTTTTTGACTGGACCAGGTTTGTATACATGTATATGAATATTCTGTTAAAATTGCTAAATCTATCATATATGTATTGTCACTTTATTTACAGTTGTTTTCCCCGGTGTTCTTTGTTTTGTGTTCAGAATGAAAAGCAGGCAAGAGTCCTAGCCAAGAAGAAGGAGCTGATCGAGACTGAAGGGACGACTGCGCCAGATCTGAATAGAGCAGAGTAGTCCAGCCTGCTTGTATCACAAACACACACTCACATAAGCCTTTCATATCTTCATGTATTCCCCTCCCTCTAAAAATCTACTAGCGCAAAACAAAAATTAATGCACAACGCAAAAGATGCTTTCTGCAACCTCTAAGGTACTTCATCATTTCAAAATAAAAATACGGTAAAAACTTTCAAGCATATATGCCTGTTTTCTGTTTTCGTTCACAACTGCGGTCGATCAGACCATAAAGCATCCTGCGAAAAAAAAGACCAAAATTATGAAATCACTCACTTTTACGTTTTGGCGTGCCTTATTATTGTACAGGGGCAAGGAGTTGTTCAACTGCAAACAAGAAAAGTTAAACGGGGAAAAAAAAAAAACACAACTGAATGGTGCAGTTTATGTAAATTCATGTCCTATTGTGTGTGTCGGCTGCATTTTTTCAGCGGTGTTTTTCTTGTATCTGGTGGAAAGATTTCAATCTTGGCGCTTGTGTCATATCTCCTTGAAAACGAGACTTTCCAGCGACAACCCTTGTATACGTGTAATGTATGTAAAAAAATGAAGTATACTCCTAGCCTTAGATGCATGTAGATGTAGTCGAAACAGGTCTCTCTTTTTTTGTTGCGAGATAGGCATTTAGCAATCCCCTCCTCTTTGCTGTGGACTCTCAGTGGACTTGGGCGTGGCTTCGGGTGTGGTCAGACAAGGGTGTGGCACATGGGTGTGGCATTTTTACAGAAAAGAGGTATAGCTTATTAGAATATCACCAGAGGTCATTTCAAATACATTGTTTCTGAGGAGCCACAATGCTGAGGGCAAGTTGGCCATCGCACACTTTTGAGGAGAGAAACACAGAATGCCATATTAACTTGTCTGGCCTACAGTTGCTCAGCACATTTTTCTCTACAAAAAAAATTCGCACATTCTAGATCTGCTTTTCCTGAAGTTTTACACCATATTTTTGGGCAATTTTTCTTTTGCACTTTTCCTTGGATAAAAATTCACTGAATGCTGCTGTTTAAGATATTAGCCTGTTCAACCTTTCGGGGGCACTTGCTGTCAAAGATATTGTAAATGTGAGCTTCAATGTATGTATGATAAAGAAAACGGAATACACAAAGGCATTGTAATAAGGTCGATATTCAAAGTTTATAGTAGTACCTTGCTGTTAATGTGGCATGCTACGATTGTTAGTCTACATTGGGACTTTGCACGGCAGTGTTAAGATGGTAGAAATTGTACATTTTGTGGTCAGTCTAATGCCATGCATGCACGTAGATTACATAGTTACACATGAATATTCGATGTTCACTTAGGATAAAAAACACAATTAGGGAAAAAAACTCTGTACATGTAGGTATAGGTAGTGAAAGTAGACATATGCTCGTGTAGTGTTGTTGACCTTTTAGTGAGCGTGATGTGACTAATATGCCTAGGAGTTGATTATTTTGATACCAAAAAATTCATAAATGTCTACTGAAATTGAATAATTGATAAAGTTTTGTGTATGCTAAGTTCGTTGGTTGTAGCACCGGCACTGCCATGTTTCACACGATAAAAATCACCACTAAATATGAATGTTAAAATGTGCTGCTGGCTTTTGGTGATACTTTTAATTAAAATGTTGAAGTTTTTTTGTCTTGAAAAACAATTGCAGAACGGACTCACAAAGTGACTGTCTTTTGGAAAGGGAACGATTTTTTGTTTCTTTGTATTTTGCCTTAACGTTTACAGAGAAAAGAGGTGTTGCTTTTGTATTTAAAAAAAAAAAAATTATTTCTGAGTTCTTCCAAATGATTTTTGTAAAAAAAAAACACGAAATGCCAAAAATTATTTATTTTGATTTTGTTATTAACAGTAGTTTAAGTTAGAAACATTTTTTTTTGTATTTGATTGTTACAGTTAACAGTTGACGCAATGTGAGCTAGCATAAGCTACACTTAATTATACTCGTATTGATAATTCTGTCATGCTGCTTTTGAACAAAAAAAATGTTACAACAACTCTTTAAATGACCACTTATTGAATAATAGCTGCAAACCGATAAAGCGGTTTCAGTCATTTCCTCTCGTCCAAAAAAAGAAAAGACCAAAAAATTGCCACTTTATCTACCTGCTTGATTTACTCTCTGAAATTCCATTGATTGTTTCGTTGTACTTAAAACTCAGTTCAGTTGTTTTGTTATATATTATAATGATTGTATTAGGCTACTAGCCCATTCCCAACTTGCATAATTGCCGCTTGGAAAAGTTGCAACTTGGAAAACAATAGACCCCTAACCCTGCTAAATGCAACAGAAAGCAACAAAGGTAAAAAGTTGTTGCATACTGTTGCATTTAGCATGCAACTCAAGTCCCCGTGCTGGGTTGCATCTTGTTGCATTTAGCAGGGTAACTGCTCATAGTGCCAAGCCAATACATGTACAACATGATCCACTATTGCATTTGGTTGCATTTTGCAGGGTTACTGCTTGGTGCCAAGGTATGCACTGGGTTCACTACACAATGCAACAGAATGCAACAGAATCCACTGTTGCAATTTGTTGCATTTTGCAGGGTTCTATTTCAGCTAAGTTGCGTTTTGTTGCATTTGGCAGGGTGCTTAGAGAAAACCTGTTGGGGTTAGAGTTTAAATTAATATTTTTTTTCTTTCTGACGTGTGCTAGGTTTTTCAAACCCAGTTTTGTTTTGCAACGTAAGAGGCTATAATTTTGTGTTCATGATTGTTTTGTCATAAAGCATTACTTTGACTGGAGTTATTTGTACAGGATATTTGACATACTTTGCATTTTTTGTTGTATTTTATTTTTGCTACAAAGAAGTTTTGATAACATTCCATGCTCATAGAGTACTATTTAGAGTTATTTATTACATGTATTTGGTTTTTCGTTTTGAGCAAGCGAACCTTTTGGACAATTTCTCCTCAAGTTTATTTGAGTGGTTAAGCTTACATTTCCAACAACGCTTCTGTTTGCCATAAGAAGGAACAGACACATTGCTTAACACTATGTAGAAACTGAAGCTTATTATGACAGGAAAACCAAACGATCTTTCACTGCAATATTTATTTTAGAAACGTATTTATTTTCAAATGTTAACTTGGAAGACCTTGTCCAATATTCACATCAGATTCTACCCACCTACACGCGATCATTAATTGATAAGACTTTACGTTCTTTACTGTATCTTTTAGGAACATTTTTTGTGTAATAAACAGGCGTACATGTGCTTGGTTGTTAATAAAAAACAAAGCTCTCAAGTATTAATTATTGCGGATAGCATGTTTTCATGATTGGGATGATGATTATTTTGTTGGTTTAGAAATGTGTGATTCTATTTGATTACTGGAAACTCAGAAACGAATAATTTGATCAGTGAATGTGCTCCTCAAGGTGGGAATGGACCGATCCAGTAAGCACCGCCCTATGATGTTATGACCAATCACAGCCGTGATTTATGTCCGACGTGCGTGCACGCGCGTATGATGCGCGCGGCAGGAAAATGTGGCATTGGAGAGGACCACGTGTTAATTTGCCCACGTGCGCAGTGGGCGGGGGTACTGGATCGGTCCATTGGCCGTAGAGTAATTGGTGTCCATTACCCCCCCCCCCCGGCCCCTCCCCCCCCCCCGGCCCCTCCCCTAATATATTGGTCGAGAATGGGGGTTAATTCCATAAAAAAGTTTGATTTGACTCGCTGCATGCTAGGATTCTGAAGTAAATTGTGCCTTCGGTGACTTAAAATATATTCAGTTTCATATGTTATTTGTGTCATGGAGAAAGGCATTTTGTAAGGAGCTGGAGACAATTTGGCAATAATTACGCTGAGCATGGACGAATTTCTTATATGCGACAAGTTATTTTCACAGTAGGACTATAATGTTGAAAATGGGGACATTTGTTTTGAGATTTAAGAGACATGCAACTCTTGACATCCCTGTCGGTTCCGAAAGGTACCCCTGTAAATCATGTAACTCCTACCCACTCATGGCTCTATGTCTCCACTCACTCCACTCCCCCCCCCCCCCCCCCCCCCCCCCCCCCCCCCCCCCAGCAGCAGCCACCCGTAGCCCCGCCTTCCTTTGCCATAAATGGTTAGTGAGTGGCCACGTGAGGGCGCTCTCATTGCAAAATAGCGCCGGTACTATGCAAAACCTGCAGAGTGCAATATCATTTTTTTTAATCTGCAAAAATGGAAGATTTGGCCAGTAAATTCGAGTCAGACATCATTACGAAAGGCAGGGAGCCTGTCATTAAAGAGGACTGCATCTTCTGTAAAATATCGAGGGGCGAAGCAACCAGCAATGTGTTGTTTAAGGTAGATATTCAACCTTTTTTTTGATGATACATTTTTTTAATTCGATTTCCGGTCTTTTGAGAATTGAGTTAGGCCTATTAAACCTCTACTTTACAATGTTAATTAAGGCCTAACGTCTTGTCTTAATTTTCAGATGTTTTGGAAAGAATGCTGCATTTTGACACCACTTTTTGTCATCCAATATTCATTATCTCAATGAAGGTCAGTTATTGCAAAAATGATGAAAAGACATGAATCTGGAACTGAGATTTTCAAATTTTGTTAGTAAGTCTTACTAAGTTAGTAAGTAAGTGGTTGAAAATGCTCGACTCTCCAAAGTCTAGGCACTTACACTTTGTACACAACCAAAGAAGTGGCATGGCATCTGGATGTTACATTCTTTCCGGGGTTTTTAACCAGAAAAAAAGCAAAGTGAAGATACACACTACCACGTGCTGAAGGATTGTGGCAATTTTAATACCCTTTTTTAATGCTGTTGCTGATCAAAGACAAAGTTGAACTTACATCATTAGCCAATGATTAGGTTATCAGTTGATGTTATCCACTGTAAAAACAAAAGTATGGTAACATGAATCTCTAATCCATGTGAAAATACATGTAAATAGAGTACAAAATGTGTAAAATAATTATTTAAACTTAATCAAACTTCAGGTGAGCTGGCGAACTGAAACTTATTCCAAATTAAGTATGAAATCAACAGAACTTCTTCTTTTTTTCTTCTTTTTTTCCAGAACAGTGAAGTGACGGTTTTCTATGACATCCGGCCAGCGGCCAAGGAGCATCTTCTGATCATTCCAAACTGTCACCATGGCAACCCCAAGACGCTGACCAAAGCTGACATCCCAATGGGTAAAATCGAGATGCTCTCCTCAAAAACATTTTCATTTCTGAGTAAAAATTTCCGGCACCAGTTGCATTTTGCAATAGGGTAATAATAAATTAAACATACATGAAGAAGTTAAACAGATCCCACAGTAACTTTCCCACCCCAACTCTTTGAGTTTTTTTAGCCCTGTTTGCCGTTTTTATGATGCTGACATTCTTTTTGTTTACCCGTTCACAGTTGAGTACCTCCATGCCGTTGGTAAAGGAGTCTTGGAGCAGAAAGGAGGAAGCCTAGATGATGCGAGGTGAGCATGTGACCTTTGACCTTTAGACTTGCACCAGTCCAACATTTTAGGACTCTCAAGTCAATAGACTGGCCCATGAAACTACCAGTCCGTCACTTAAATATAAGTCACTATTAAGTGCTGCATAAGTTGAAAGAGACGTCTGGTACCAAGTCTCCTTTCAGTACACATGTTCTCATAGTCATGTGCCAGTCTACAGCATTCTCTCTTGACTCTCTTTCTTTGACCTTTGACCTCAGAGTTGGTTTTCATTGGCCTCCGTTTAACACTGTCGAACACCTACACCTTCACATGGTGTATCCGGCCAGCGGCATGAAATTCTTCAGTAGTATGGTCTACAGAAACAACTCACCGTGGTTTGCAACAGTAAGAACTGATCAATTTCACTGTGTCAATTAGGAAAGAGTTCCATACCTGGACGTCATTGACACATGTGCACAAACCCTAAGAGACTGGTCTGAAAAATTCCCAGTGTTTTCTCAGTAAATGCTTCACTATTTTCCCTGCTAACAATGGCTAAAGTTGACTTTTTAGGACATGTTTTTAAGGAAATGTTTGTAGTGATGTCCATGTATGGAATTCTTCCTGTCAAGGATATCATTGAGCCCATCAATTCATGTCCTATAATATCTCTGTGAATTGCTGAACAGTGAGAGCTAAAAGACAAAATAACATTTTATAATTGATGCTTTCAAACACTTGTGTCACATGCTGTTGTCCTTTCTAGGGGTGCGCATTTACGGGTAGTACAGGAACCGATACCCTATTGAAAAAAAATACGGGTACCTGCGATCCTGGCCAAATCTCGCTGGGCCCCAAACCCCCCGGCCCCTGTCAATGTTGTCTCTCATTGCGCGGTGTGTGCTCCATCAGCTGGAGAGAACAACATTGACCGGGGGAGCGGGGGAGTGGATGACCGTGGCAGGCTGAAGAAGTGTCCCAACCATTTTGGCCGGGATTGTGGGTACCCGTTAAAGAAACCCAAGCCAAAAATTAAAATCTTGGAAGTTGCTGTTCAGATTGTTCATGATATAAAGGTCCGCATGATAATACTACCACATCGGAGCGGCAATACGGCTAGATAGGGTGTATGCAGTGAGCTCTTTAGCTATGTGGTGACAACTGCAACTGTCGCAAGCATCATAAGACGTGAAATTGGTTTTGGTGTTCCATGTATCCCGTTTTTCATTTTGCAATTTTCCCACTGACATTCGAAAGATTTCTTTTTCATTGACTGCGAAGTTACTCAGTAATTTGCAAAGTTGGTTACGGGTACTCGATTCCATAATCTAGAACCGGTTCCTGACATAAACGGTCGGGTACCCAGTTCTGATGCACAGCCCTAGTCCTTTCTAGTATTAGCACTATGGGTAACTGCAAAGGGGCACTGTTTAAACAAGATGTTGCATGTGATAGCATGTTACCTGAGCTGGGGCCGTATCATAAGTCCGACGCCTCATACGTCCGACGCCTCTTTAAGTCCGAAATTTCGAAATTATGAGGCGTCAGACTTATGAGCCATAAATTCCGCCTCATAGGTCCGACGCCTCATAAGTCCAACAATCGACAAGTGCTGTTTTGGACTTACGAGGTGTCGGACCTATGAGGTGTCGGACTTATGAGCGGACCCCCCTGAGCTCACAATCCAGTAAGTGTGAACTCGGTTTTGGTAAAGTATCTTGCCCAAGAACACATGCTGAGTGATCACATAGCATGGCTCTGTTGTACATGTACATACTGAAGATGGGCTTAAGATGACTTGTAGTTTCAACAGACACTTGGAACCATTGCAAAACTCTCTGCAACATCAGGCATATTTTTAGTACTGGGAAATATCTGTATTTCCCTCTTCTTGCCATCATTGCCAAACTGTTCCCGTTTTTGTTCACAGTATGACTGGGTTCTGCAAAGGCTGAAGAACCTCCCGGACAACACACCAGAGGAAACAAAGCAAAGTGCAACTCAAGATGAGAAAGATGCGGGGGAGAGCTCATCAGACAAGGGAACAGAAATATAAACTACATGTCACTGTAATTGTCACTGCAAGTGTCACTGTAAGTGTCACTGTAATTGTCACTGTAAGTGTCATTGTAATTGTCACTGGTCATTTTCAAGGGTGGATCCAGAGAGGTTATTGCCGGAGTGCTGAGGCTGTGCCGGGGAGGGGGGGGGGGGTGGATGGGGGAGGGCTCTCACAAGTGGATAAAGGCATTATTTGAAAAAAAGTTTGTCACTGCCGGGGGTGGGTGTCCCCTGGATCCGTCAGTCATTGTCATTCGTGTGCTCATGTCATTGTAGTGTATGTCACTGTTGAGTGTTGACATCAAATTGCAGATTATGTCGGTGATCAGTTGTGAGAAAATCAATGTGGCTTAAATGTCCAAATGTGCACATGTTTCATCGCATAAGCATTGTGGCTAGCAATATTTTCTTACTCAATGTGTAGTTATTCTGTTACTCCTGAATTTCCAGAATTGAGAGTAAAGCACGTCACATCTGTTCTTTTCCTTGTTAATAAGCCATTCATGTTATTATTTATTATTATTATTATTATATTTTTTTTTTTGCTTTTCCGGTCAGTCTAGTTGGAAAAGAAAAATATCTGTTTGATACAGAAATACTACATAAATACCAGGATGAATGTGAAGTACAGGTGATGAAAATGAACTTGAGAAAAGTAAACCTCTGTAAAACCTCTGTTCAATACTTAATAGTGCATGCAGTTAGTAAGTTTTAATGGGAACGATTGTGTTGCAAAAGAGTCTACATGTTATTTTTATTTAAACCTAATAGATTTCATATATGTTTTTAATGTCATTGTGAATAAACTGGTGCGAAATAATAAATTGTCCTGATTTTGGTATCAATTATTCGACCGCGAGAGGGCGCACTGCTCTTGGGCGTCGCCGGGGGAGGGGGGGGGGGGTGGTAGTCGATGTAATAGACCCTGGCGAAGCCGACCACGGTCTATGATATGTTAACAGATTCGGCAATTAATTATGCAACTAGACTGCGTATGACCTCGAGAAACTGACCAATCAGCAGCGCCTTATATACGCGCGTAATGCATTTTTGTAGAGCAGGTTGTATTACAAAAGCGTGGCATCGAAATCGACCATTTACAAACTTGGTCCTGATTTCGGAATGAAATGACGTCACGCATGCTTAGATATATCAGACGTTCTACCAGAGATGGGCTGCGTGAAGAACGGGCTATACTCAGACTGGGGTGTTGTTGGTTTTTTTTTGGGGGGGGGGGGGGGGGTTTGAAGAAAAAAGAGGTGTGAAGTCATATTTGTTATTTAATACACATTTAAGAAAATGGACGTCTGCAGGGGCGTCAATGGGGGTGGGGTGGGCAAATGTCCCCGCCCACTCTCGAAAAAAAAATGAGCAATTGAGAATATGCCAGAGAAAGTACAAGGATTTTAGAGTAGAAACATGGCATAAAATAGCCCTGCTGTGCGCCTTATTCTGTAATTACGATACATTCGTATTTTATTCATGTTTTAGTTTTCATTTTAAGTGTTACATGTATTTGTTTTTTGTTGTCCATTCTTTTACTGTGAATAACACTGATTTGGGGTTTTTAACGTACAACTGAAGTTTTTACAGTATTTTAATGGTATTTAATCTGTTTTTGGCACAGCGGTATTTTCACGGTTTGCAGTATTTTACAGGTTGTTTAACGATTAATCAATAAGACAACAGTTGGTCCGGCCTAAGGTCCGGCCTAAGCCCCTGCCCAAGGCCGGCGCCCATTGGCGATAATAACACCCATCACTTGGATTTACGCCCATGAAACTTGCGACCATACGTTAATTTTTGTTGTTATCAAAACCGGTCTTCGAAAGCACAGCTGTAATACTGGAGGTGCATGAATACAGTACATTGTACATGGCTGAGTATTGACTGTCCACCAACCTACCCGCATAATTGCAGTCACCCACCCTCCCATCCAAACATCAACCAACCCTATGGCTGAGTATTGACTGTCCACCAACCTACCCGCATAACCAATCACACACCCTCGCATCCAAACATCAACCAACCCTACCTCCATGAACCAACGAACCAAGCAGCTCAAGCCCACGGCGTGTTTCCCACCGCCTTTGGATGGAGAAATAGCCCAGCCCATCTGCGTGTTTCCCACCGCCGTGATTGACACCGCCGTTGAACATGACGAATATCCGGTACACTGTTCAAAACGGGAACTGACAAATTACTCCGCGGCAGAAGATCCCCAGAATCTTGTTGGACTCGCACCCGGCCCGTAGTGTGCATGTGCAAACGATGTACATGTACGTACATGTGGATAGCAAATACTGCAGGAAATATTGCTCTTTTAAAGTTTCACATGCACGAGCCCAAAATATTGATCATTCTAAACTTGAGTGGAAGCATCGAGGATTTCATATTGCACGGTAGTGTGGTGACTTTGAGCATTGCAACAACAGTGGCTGAATTTGGGCGCGAAAAGAAACCGAAAGTTGTTATGATGGTGCACGGATCGCCCTGTGAACGGCCGTGGCCCAACAGGTTCTTTTGGCCGATGTCCCTGCTTGTGATCTTTGCTATCGGCACGGTAGTTCTGTACTCCACGGTAAGTTGGACTTTTTTCTTCTAGTTATTTATTTGTAACGCGGATCGCACTGCAAGTAGTCACTGTAGTTTAGAGACAATAAGTACTTGGCAAACTTTTTTGTATTAAATTTGGCCTAGTTACCATACACAATTCTATGAGTGTATTGCGGTACATTTTCGTCAAATAGGAATCGAGTGTAGGGCAGTGAACCCCCGCCCCATGCATACCGTCTTAGTTTACTTAACAAATTGAGAACCGTTGTTCCCTTCTCTTTTTTTCTTATTGTTTGGACTTTTTCTCGACATGTCCCATAAGGTTTGAACACAAATCCTTCTGAGGACTACGGCTCGAGTCCTTGGGTTTATTGTTATCACATGTAGCCCATTATTCAAAGTCCTCGGACGTAAATGCTACCAGATACACGTTTGTGTATGATATAAATCGAGGACATCTCGATTTTCCTTTTGTTTGTACTTGTTTGCAGCAGTTTTTGGCCGCGAGAACTGTCCTCACTTGGATACAGTGGCGTAGCCAGGAATTTTTCAGTGGGGGGGGGGGGCGCGCTGGGGGCTGGAACATTTCATGGGGGGGGGGGCGTCAAGCAGGGGCGTCAATCGCTTCTCAAAAGTGGGGGGGGGGGGGACATACCTTGATCAGAACTGATGCAAGCGCGAAGCGCGAAGCCCTTACGGCGTGGGGTTCGGGGCCCGCTTAAGGGCCCCGAAAAAATTTGATTCTAGATGTTCTGTGGTGTGATTTGAAGCAATTTCTTACGACTTTCCTCCATGCTTTAACTAATATTTTCTTGGCAAAAGATAACTATTTGAACATCGTTTTCGAGGTTGGAGACATTGAATCAGCTATCGGTATTCTGAGCTATTGGCGTGGGGTTCGGGGCCCGCTTAAGGGCCCCGAAAAAAATTTTCGATGCTCTGTGGTGCTATTTCTGAGGCAATTTCTGACCACTTTAACCAATAGTTATCTTAGCACAAAAGATAATAATTTAAACATAATTTTCGAGGTTTTCTCAAAGCATAAGAAAATTTTGTGAACATTGTTTTTGAGATTGGAGTCATTGAATCAGCCACCAGAATTCTGAGCTATAGGCGTGGGGTTCGGGGCCCGCTTAAGGGCCCCGAAAAATTTTGGATTCTCAATGCTCTGTGGTGCTATCTGAGGCAATTTCTGACCACTTTAACCAATATTTTTTCTAAGCAAAAGATACATTGTATAGGGCCCATGGCGTCATGTAGATCAATGATAATTTTTTTAGAAACTCAAATCTCAGTGGGGGGCGACTGGGGGGGGGGGCGACAAGGTTTCATGGGGGGGGGGGGTCGCCCCCTCCCCCCCACGCCCCCCCCCCCCGGTGGCTACGCCACTGCTTGGATACACGTCCTCAATCAGAAAAAGGATAGAGTTTCCTCATGTCCTCGATTTACCGTGACCATGGCTACATGTGCATGATCTTCCCTGTGTCACGGGCTAGATTGGATCACTTTTAATCTTAATAATGCCCACCGATTCCATCTATTAAAAGATAAATAATTTTCTTCCAACAGACTTCTCCCATAAAGCAAGTTTCGCTCCTCCCACAGCCGGCTGTGTCTAAAGACCTTTTCCGCGCCCAAACGGAGACCCCAATCAGGACTGTGACGAGCGCCCTCACGTCTACATACAGACTGGTAGAGCAGAAACTTCGCCCCATAAAGCAAGTTTCGATCCTCCCACAGTCAGCTGTGTCTACGTCTACAGACCTTTTCCGCGCTCAAACGAAGACCCCAATGAAGACTGTGACGAGCGCCCTCACGTCTACCTACAGACTGGTAGAGCAGACACTGCGTGTCAGCAACACTGCACATTTTGTCATTCAAGCCAAGGACTCAAGCGGCAGGAACATGACCTCTGGCGGCGATTTCTGGTTTACCTTTCTGACCAGCGTTGAAGGCGATCACCCGACCACTGGAGGGCGCACTGCTGGTTCGGTGGTTGACCACAATAATGGCACGTACAGTGTGTCCTTTTACGTTGGTTGGTCGGGAATTGCTTACGTGCATATGACACTGGCAGCCCCAAGCGAAGCTACAAAATGGCTGCGTGACAAGTACTGGCCCGTCGAAAAACGGGTCTTTTGGAAAGCGGATTTCTGGGGGAAGCACTCCATTGAAACAGCCGCCTGTTTCGTGCAGAGAAACGTGACGTCAACGTCCCATCTGTGCACCATCGACCACAATCCCAAGGCCATGGGATTGACGGCTCTTTACTGCGAGAAACCACACGTTGCCAAGTGTGAAGATTTCAAGACGATTGCTGTAGATCCCGAAATGGTCAACACAAGAACTCTGGAGTTGCTTCAGGGAGATATCACATTGTTTAAAGGGTACGTACAGATAGAGAGTCTCTCCAATCATCTCCGGAAGCTTTTGGTAACTTCGTCTAAGTAACTAAGTCTTCAACAATATGCAGGACCTTTGAAATTTAAACTGTGTAGGCGGGCAACGTTTTTCACATCCAAATCAAACCTCAACATTTTATTAGAAACCTATATCTTATCTTATAGCTATATCAATGCATATAATTATCTTCGCACAGCTGATTCAGTTGGAAATTACTTACTCAGTTTCATCTGCTGCATCTTCTTTTCAGGGAAAACTATTTGCAGCCACTTACAAGGGGACCAAAGAGTTTCACAATCGCACGTGAGTTTTTATTTGTCAAAAAAAGTTTTTGTATTTTAACTTTTCGTTTTGCGTATTAATTTCTTTGTTCTACTACATGTATCATGATATTTTTTGAGCAACTTTAATACACTGTATGGGCGATACAGTTTTTGTGGGGTGGTTGTATTAAAAGAAATTGTTCGATACGAAATGGAAGACACTTGCAACAACCGTTTTATTCTAATCATCCTCCTTTTTTCCCTTTAAATTTAGAATCACAAAGCAACAGAACTACCGATACTAGAGCACCAGTCTGCAAACCAGACGAAGAGCCCCTTGCAAACGATGGATTCTGGCTGGACGCGGAGTGGCACCACCTGCAATGCAAGGTGCACAGATGGGAAGACGTAAAAGCAGTCAGGGCGTGCTTACGTCACAAACACGTGTTCTTTCACGGCGATTCAAACATTAGAAGCTGGTACTGCGTGCTCACTAGGAAACTGGGCTACCCGTGGCAGCATTTAGGCACGGGCAACGGCAAAATGACCATGCACAATTACTACCCGGATAACCAAATAGAGACTAGTTTTTACTTTCACCCACGTGTCATCACAACTGCTAAAATCAATTTAGATGCCACACCGTATGAGGTGGATATTTTGGACAATATCCCCACAGACGAGTGCAACAGGTACATCATCGCGCTGTGTCCGTGGGGACATTTTACCCAGTGGACGCGGGAGAGTTTCACTGAGCGGACCAATCTTCTGAAAGATGCGGTGCTTCGGTTCCGGGAGCGGTGCCCTGGCGTCCCAATTGTCCTGAAAGGCACCCACACTAGGGAACACGAGAGCACTCTAAAGACTGTGTACGGCAGTGACTACACGCTTTGGCACTGGGGTCGCACGCTGCGGGATACCTTCCGAGGGACTGGTGTGTTTTTCTATGATGTGTGGCAGATGAGCTTGGCCTATGGAAAGCCGGATATACACATGCCTCTAGAAGTCATCAACGAGGAAGTGAATTGGTTTTTATCTTATGTTTGTAGGTGATACAACAATGGACCGATCCAGTAAGCACCGCCCCATGGTATTCTGACCAATCACAGCCGTGATTTATGTCCGACATGCGTGCACAAAAGTCCGACATGCGTACACGCGCGTATGATGCGCGCGGCAGGAAAATGCAGTGTTGCATTGGAGAGGAGCACGTGTTAATTTGCCCACGTGCGCAGTGGGAGGGGCTTACTGGATCGGTCCATTATTAATGCACCGGTCCATTAAGCTCCGCCCATGGTGTTCTGACAAATCACAGCCGTGATTCATGTACAACGTGCGTCCACAATGCGCGTGCACGCGTGTATGACACGCGCGGCTTGAGCATGCAGTGTAGAGACGTGTGCATGCAGTGGGCAGATCCTATAAGTGGATCGGATTAATTAGAGAAGGGCTGATCGAACCACAAACTTCGACCAGTACTATACCGTGTTATGGTTTTGGCTGAGATTGGTATCAGTTTGAGCTCAACTTAACATTTAAGGCACTTATTTGTTTTTGGATAGAATCTCAAAGGCCTCGGCCGTGTGCTGGATCACGTGACAAATAATTGTTGGCATTTTCTGAGATTTGTGGTTCGTTTGTTATTTAATGTTGACTTGCATGATGTTTTGAAACTCAAGAGTCAATAAAACTAAACATTTACACAGTTTCTGCTTTGATTGTCATTTATTGTTGCCTCCTTTTCAAGGTCAGTTTGTGATCAGGAATTTGTCGACGAAGACATTGAACCGCCAGTGCGTCGAAACTGAATCGGCAGAGTGCCAACACTGAACCGGCAATGTGACGACACTGAACCGGCAATGTGACGACACTGAACCGGCAATGTGACGACACTAGAACCGGCAATGTGACGACACTGAACTGGCAATGTGACGACACTGAACCGGCAATGTGACGACACTGAACCGGCAATGTGACGACACTGAACCGGCAATGTGACGACACTGAACCGGCAATGTGACGACACTGAACCGGTGTAGCATGAATTTAGGTTTTCTGAAACACGGACTCATTGGTGGTATTGCGCATGCTCATGCATAGACAATAAGGAGAGGGACCGGTCACGTGAGAGGGTTTAACCAATAAAAGGGAAAAAAGAGTCCGGTTTTCATACGAGTCCGATTTTCATATGACACCGGCAATAATTATGACACAGAACCGCCGATGTGAAGACATGATACCTCGGTTTTCTGAAATCAGTGCACCAACATTGTTTCACATTATCAAAATGCGTCGCAGCTAGCTAACCATTGAGCAGCAGAAACGTCAAAATACTAATGTCCAAGAAAAAATCACACTTACTTTAATTCTTTAATTTCACAAAAGAAAACACTGAACAAATTTCACACTCGTAAATACATAAACATTATACCATACAAATAACAAAACCTTTTTTTTTCAAATCAAGAATGATTTCTACGATCTATCAAGATGACTTCTGTGGAAAATATGCCCATTGAGCATTCAACGTTAAGATGGTAAAATTAGACTGCACGACCTCCACAAGCCACCAATGTGTACCTACTTGTATTACGTAAATAAGCATGACGAAGTTCAAGTTGTGCTATTTTTAAACCCACATACATATGTCAGAAACCAGTTGACTTCCTCCGAGATAACATCCGTTGGCATGTGAATATTACTCGGTCCGTAGGCAACGTTCATCTGCCACATGTCGAAGAAGTACACTCCGGTTCCGTGGAATATTGCACGTAGCGTGCGCCCTAAAGCCCAGAGTGTGTAATCGCTCCCCACAACGCGCATTTGAGTGCCCTTGTGCTCTCTCGGATGGGCGCCTTTCATAACGATGGGCACGTCAGGGCACCGCTCCCGGAACCGCAAGATGGCGTCTCTGAGTAGAAGCGCGCGCTCGACGTAACTGTCGCGTGTCCACTGCGTGAAATGAGCCCACGACGAAAACACGAAGATGGAGCGGCCGCAGTCCTTTGTAGGCAAGTTGAACAGAACATCTACCTCATATGGGGTCATACTCAGGGTCACTCTAGCCTGAGTGATAACCCGGGGGTGGAACCTATAAGTCATATTCAAGTCCAGCTCCTCGTAGTAGTTGTTTTTAACTACTCGGCTGCCTAGGCGTTGCCAAGGCAAACCCAATTTCCGGGTGATTTCATGGTACCAGGACCGCACAGTCGAGTCGGCGATGATGTAAACGTGCTTGTGACGTAGGCACTCCCCGACGGCTTTTGTATCATCCCATTTGTAGACCTGACATTGCAAGTGATGCCACGTCTTGTTGAGCCAAAACCCATCGTTCACAAGGTGCCTGGAGTCGGGCTTACAGACGGGTGCTCGACTCTCTGTACGGTTTGGTGATACTGTTGAATTAAAAAAAAAATACATAGGGATATTTGTGTTAACAAAAAAATATTGCTTCTTCCGACCAATCCAAGTAACCCGATTGTGATCCCTGATATGTTGATTGTTTCAAAATTCTCACTGACATCTTATTGCAAGTCGGACACAAAGTGCAAACTAAGCAAAACACATTTTTTTTTAAATTAAAGATATCAAAAAAAATCCTCGTATACTCACAAGCTATCTTGACGCTTATGGGCCCATGAACAAGCCTTCGCATGAAATTGACTCTGCGTACGCAAGGCAGAAAATAAAAGAACAAAATTACAACAGAAACACAGACGCTGTGAAGATAGTGGCACATAATGTCGAAGCAATTCCGGAGTTTCTTTTAACCAAACGTTCTCTTTATGATCTCAGAAACGTCGGGCTGTGTTTAATAAGATCAGGTTTTTTAGAACATTATACTTACCCTACGAAGAGCTTAGATGCTTTGCCAACTATTTGCGACGTTCTTTGTCCTGTGGCTTTTACGTCTAACGCGAGCGAATGTAAATCGTCGCAAGTTAAGGGTGCTTTTGGTCTCTCGCAGTACAAAGCCGTGAGTCCTGTGGCGTTTGGATTGTGATCAGCGACGCAATCATCAGTTGACGACGCATTTCGCATTAGGTAGCACAAAGTCGAGTGACTGAGGGGTTTTTGTCCCGGTTTGGTCTTATTCCTGAACGTCCCTCTCCAGAAAATTCGTTTTTCGACGGGCCAGTACTGCTCTCGCAGCCATTTTGTAGCTTCGCTTGGGGCTGCCAGTGTCATATGCACGTAAGCAATTCCCGGCCAACCAACGTAAAAGGACACACTGTAAGTGCCGTTATTGTGGTCCACCACTGAACCAGCAGTGCGCCCTCCAGCGGTCGGGTGGTCGTCTTCAACGCTGGTCAGAACCGTAAACCAGAAATCGCCACCAATGGTCTTGTTCCTGCCGTCCGAATCCTTGGCTTGAATGACAAAATGCGCAGTATCGCCGACACGGAGTGTCTGGTCTACCAGTCTGTAGGTAGAAGTGAGGGCGCTAGTCAGAGGCAGGGTCCGGTTGGTTTTGTTTTTCTCCGGTAGAAATCGCTGCAGCAGAATTGCTATATCCTTGGACGAGTAACGCTTAGCCTAGTAAAGAGAATCAAACGCAAAACAAAGATTCAATCCTCAACAATTTCACATATGACGCAATAGCTTGGCCGATATTCTGGGTGTGTAACACCTCACCCTCGGATTCTGTCTATTGATTGGCTGAGAGCGCGTCACGTGGTATTCACTTTTTCGACCATGCACGGTAAAAAGATTGTACGCCATGGGCAGCCTCGTTCTGTTATCAAAATGTACAACCGGAGGTCTGTGCACATGCTGTATGTAAATCAGGGGAAAACGGAAAGTTTGAAAAGGGACGTAAATTTCCGAACTGTTCACCTTTTTAGCACCCTTCACCGTTCAACATGTATAAAGCATGTACCTTTATCTTGAAGCCATCGCTTTTACTTAATTTAGGCTTTATTTTCAGCGCCGAATTCACCATACAGGGTGAGTCAAAAAAAGCGAAACCCAAATGTCGGGACTATTGTTTTAGTGAAGTTCTGAATGTAGCACTTTTCAAATCTAGGATATGAAAGCCCAATTCATAAGCTTTCTTTTAGTCCAAGAATCATTCAAATCGCTCATGTGCTTTTCAAGTTACGGAATTTTAAACACAACCACCGTTTTGAAGTTCTGTCCACGGATCACAAAAAAGTGTGCGCATGCATGCGTTCATTTTTCAGCGAAACGAAAACAATTCACACACATCCCTATTTGATTTATTATCGTTTTGCTGAAAGAACACTTACCTTCTTGTGATCCGTGGACAGAACTTTAAAACGGGGGTTGTGTTTAAAATCCCGTAACTTGAACAGTACACAAGTGATTTGAATGATTCTTGTACTAAAAGAAAGCTTATGAATTTGGCTTTAAAATCCTAGATTTTGAAAGTGCTACATGCAGAACTTCACTAAAACAATGGTCCCTACATTTGGGTTTCGTTATTTTTGACTCACCCTGTATACCACGAAGATGATGTAGTTTAGGAATATCTTGAAACAATTTTAACATGTCTCCCCAATTCCAAGAAATCTGCTACGCATCATGAGCCTGAATTAATGGCTTTATTGGAGGACAATCATTTTGTGTTGCTGCCACTTAAGATAATTTTTGACGGGTATCTCTAAGGCCAAAAAAAAGTCTCCGGCTTCTGGTATGTGCGCGCGTCGCCGTAGCAAATGCGCGTCTGCAAAATTAAATTTGTTTTACAACGTAAGATGATGTCTCAAAACTGCCAAACTCACTGGTTTGACTGGAATCCTGCTGCTGCACAATTTTAACGTGTTTTTAGATGGGGTTATGATCAAGTATAAGCTTTATAAGGCCTCTCTGCGTGCGCTCCCATATATTTTGCACTTTAGTCGGGCACCACTTGCAGATGGTGTTGTAATTTTGTAATTGTGCGTCTGGAAGCCAGACTGACGGAGCGATGGTCGTGTATCTGGAACCTGTAAACGCTTTTTAATTAGCGCAGTGTACTCCTCAAGCATTATGGCCTTACTGAGGTCACCTCAAGCTGCACTCTGAAGGATATTTTGAGAGTTTTAAGAGGATCGAAGCGTCATCTGCAACATCAGCCGACATTTGAAGAGAAAAAAAAGTTGGGTAAAAAAAAAAAACACTTTTGGGGCAAGCTCGATCCATACCAGAAACCGGAGAAAAAAATTTGGCCTAGGGGCAAAATGAAAATAGAAAGGTAAGTTATTTTGGTAAAAAAAGAAATATGTATGCACTGTGGGATATATTATTTTAGGGGATATTCCCCTGCCATAAAAAAATACAAGACGTGCCGGTCGGACGTCGTCGGGTTCCAAAGCAAACAACCGAGACAATAAGTAAGTGTTTGAAGGTCGCGCAGCCACGGACCACACTTTTTTGGCTTGACGTATTTTTGTTTTGCTTCCGCCTAACTGTTGTTATCCTTGCAGGCGTCCATTATATTGCCGCCATTGTTGACGGTAAGTCAACTGAAAATTGCAAATATTTCACCCTTTCACAGGATTTAATTCTTGGGGCAGCAGTCACTTTAATTGTGCATATAGTGTGCGAAACTTCCTCAGGACTACCCTGCTCAATCCAACAGAGTCCAACCGGGCATTCCTGCTCAATCCACTGTGCCTCATTTTCAGTTGTCTGCTGAACCCAACCGAGTCCAACATGGCGTTATAATGCGGTTCAGTTGCCTGCTGAATCCAACATTTTGCACAAGGAATGTACACAAGGGGTTTACTGCTCCATCCAACAGGCTCCATCGGGTCTGCGACATAGTTGGATCCTGTTGGATTCAGCAGGGAATGGCATGTTAGTTTTAGGCTACCCCGTTTCAAACCCAGTTGAAACAAGTGAAACGCATCATGTGTTTAATATTAACCATGCCCAAAAAAATGTTAAGTTTATTCTCACTCAATCTGTATGGATCTTAATGCTATGTGTACACGACGTATACGGGAAAATGCAGCTTTCACGGCGCGTAGCGCCGGAAAATTTTTCGCTGCGCGGCAACCTGTGGTCCGATTTTATGTTTTTGGTATCAAAAGATGCGCAAGGCTCGAGGCTAAAAAGTCATAACAGCTCGGGTCGCGACATTTTTTTTTCAAGGTTATCGCGGAAAAAGTTGAGGGGGGGGGGGGCGATTCCGCCCCGGCCCTTTTAGGGTTAAGGTTCAATGGGGTGTCACTAAGCAACTTGGTGAATTTGAAGCTCATCAATACTAAGGTTTGGCAAGACTACTCAGTGGCGCACCCAAGGGGGCGGCTGGGGGGGGGGGGGAGGGCTTGAGCCCCCCTCCCAATTCTTTCTTAAATTTCTTTTTTAGTCCCACGATTTGACCTTGGTGATATGTATTTTGCCTATTTTCGAGTAGTATAACAGGGGTGTAAGTGGCGCCACCAACGTTCAAATAGTCCGCCCCTCAAAAAAACCCAATATTTTTCTGCTGCCAAAAATTCTAAAAAAATTGAAAAACTAAATTATGAGCCCCCCCCCCCCCCCCAGCCAAATCCTGGGTATCTGGAGACAAGGTAAATGCGCGCAACTTTAGGGTAAAATAGTAGCCATTTTCAAATTGGATCATAACTATGTCCTAATAATTATTCAGTCACTTATATGCTTTAGAAAATGTTATTGAAGTAAGGATAAAGTAGAATCACCAAAATATACTTTTCAAAAAAAAATATAAAACAATGTATCCAAATATGGGAACAAATATATAACACGGTATAGGTATTAACAATTTATGCAAATTAGACGGTTTAAAGCTCATAATTTCGTTTGGGAACCGGGCTTATCGGATTCAGCATACCTGAATTATGCTTAAAAGTCTGGTTCCTAACTTTTACCCAAAAATGCTCCTCACATTCACACTTTTCAGAAACCCCGACAGACTATGCGGTATGTAAATCGGGAAAAGGGAAAGATGCACGCACTCCATAAACGGAAAGTTTGAAAAGGGACGTAAATTTCCGAACCGTTCACCGTGCAAGATGTATAAAGCATGTACGCAAACCGTATACGCACGCACGAAACGCCGATTCTCGACGGAAGGTTTTTTCTTCAATTTCATGCAATCAACATTTATTTCCAAGATGCCACAACTTTTACAAGAGAAATGTAACAAAGTGAAGTAATAAATTGTATTATTAAGATGAAAGATACATGAGAAAAAAGGAACTGTCACTCAATGGGTAATTGTGGAGGCATCTTCCGGAGCCGGGGCTATTATGGAGATGCCTTGACAAAACAAAACCGAAATAGCAACTCAACAATACATAACAATCGGGCAAACATCAATACACTACACATGGGAAGAAAGTAAATATTGAGGGATAGATTATTGACGAAGTAGATAATGCCATCAATGAATAACTCATCCAACTAGTCAAAAATCAAAACATAAAACATAATCGAAGACAAATATGTGAAAAAATAAATGAATCAGCTGATCAAATCGTAAACAGTGAAAAAATCAAACAGGTGTTAACAGTGACGAATAAATTAACAAACAGCATAAGTGATAGTAAACAAATTCATACACATGAATAATCTTACACAAAGTTTTAAATTTCACAATTTCAGCTGATCAAATCATAAACAGTGGAAAAATCAAACAGATGTTACCAGTGACGAATAAATTAACAAACAAAATAAATGATAACAATGAGTGCATGTACACGTTTTCGCCCGGGAGTATTAAATTTCGTCTCGTCTATGCCAAACCTTGTTATTCAGAAATCAAATTCGTCTAATCGATTTATATGAGACGAATTCGATCATTAACGATGCCATTCGGCAATAGCTTAGACTAATTTAATCTGTAATGACGAATATTCTCGACCCGGTGACTAAATAGGGTGACCAAACTTTGAAATTGAATGGTAAATGACTAAACTAGTTTTGTTAAAAGCGTGTGAATTTTTTTCTCGGACGAAAGTGAACGTTAGAGTTGGTGAATTTGAATGAAAAGTGTTTTAAAATAGCTCGGAAACCCTATATTTTCCTTTAAAAGTCACCTTTAACTTAATTGTTGTTTTGTCATAATATTGAGGTTTCCGCGTAGCTTATTATCATATTTGTTTTCATTTCAAATTTACCTTTATTTTAATTATTATGTTACGTCTTTTTGTGTGTGTGTAGTTTTTGCTAAGCTTTTATACTGTATTTGTTTATAATCGTTCTTGTCTTCCCTGTATCTTCTTTGTTGTTTATGTTCAGGGGACTCGCACTCGACAAGCTCTGATTTTATGGGTTCCCTTTATCTCTTGGTGGTGTTATATATCGTCGATCGTACCACGATCTGACCTATCTGAATTGTTGACGAATTTTGGTTTTTAGCATATTCTGGTTATGCATGATGAAATCTTTATTTTCTGAAAATTTCAAATTCATAAGTGGCCTAATTAGCTAATTAAGCTGATTCAGCTAATTAAAAATGTTGACCTATCGCTACAAAATGCAAAATTATCATTTCACAAACTGACGCATCGAGATAGGTCACTTCGTGAAACGCGTAAACAGCTGTCAGTTTTCCACGAAGTGAC